GTGAATACAGAAATTTTGCAAGGAAAAAATTGCACAGAGGGGTTGATTAAGTTTAGATTGCATAACACTAATTATACTCTTGATTTAACTGAGTTGAATGTCATTTTTGGGTTTCCTAGTGGAGGTGAGAGAAGATATCATCGTGCTTTTAATGAACATTCCTTTTGGCACCAATTATCTACCTCCGCTAACTTTGTTTCCTCAGAGTCTAAAGAGTCTCATATTCATCATTCCTGTTTTCGATATGCTCACCGATTGTTAGCTCATACTTTATTTGCTCGGGGTGATAGTACTGTTGTTGTTAGGAAATCAGAATTATTATTCTTATGGGGGATGGTCAACGATGTTCAACTGGATTCAGGTTCATGGTTAGCTCGTCAATTCACTAAGATAGGAAAAGCTTCATCAGGACAAATAGCAATTGGTGGATTGATAACTCCAATCGCAGTACATCTCAACATTCCTTTGGAAGATGATAAGGCAATAGTCGGGACATCTCGCATTGATTTAGAGATGCTGATAAATAACGAAATGTTGGTCAAACGAGATGGTCACTATTGTTTAGTAATGAATTTTGTTGAAGGCATGTCACCACAACCACTTCCTGATCCAAAATTTACTATTGTGTGTGGTCTAGCAAGGTGGACATTTTCAGATTTGAATTCCCACAATACCTCTTATCCTCGTCCTAATCCACCCTCGACACTTCCTTCTGTTTCCCTTGATTCTCATGCTGACGTGGTTACTCGCATCACTCAATCACTTGCTGATCTTCGCACTCAACACCAACGCCATTATACCGAATTCGTGCAGTTTCGGGATTCCCAACTTCTTCATCAACAACGCATGGAACAATTGCTCCAAGAGGTGATGGAATTCCTCCGCTCCAACCAACCATAATTTTGTGAGTTCTATCCCTTCTAGTCTTAGTTATTTTGCTTATGTTGGGGACAACATAAACATTTAAGCTTGGGAGGGTCAATTGCATATCATTCTGTTGTTACATATGCATAACATATACATTGAATTGAGAATCCATTATCTTAACTCAAGTCTTAAGTTTGTTCAGTGATATTTTATGAAGCATACTATGGTTATCTATCATGATTATTTGTTGGGAAACTTCACACACTACATAGGAAGTCTGGACACTATGACACTTAAGGAAGAAAATTTTTGAGTCATAGAGTAAAAAGGATATGAAAGTTTTAAACTTTTTAGGTTTCTATGGTGACACTCACTGCATTTGGTTACTGGAGAATTGTCTATTAGTTCACAATAATATAAAAAAAAGCATAATAAGTGAAATGACACCCCTTTGAGACTGTGTGAGTTATTGGAGAAAGAGGCACTCCTTTGAGACCGGGTGTGGCAAGTACAAAGCATCTGAGTGGAAGATCCATGTTTAGTTGGCAGGTAATTGTCTTCTAGGCCAGAACCTAAGAAAAAGTTTTGTAAAGAGAAAATAAAGCTCAAAGATTGTCTTCCTTGATGTCTTGTGCCTTACATCCTTTCCTCAACTCACTTAGGGACCCAATAATTGTGGAATAAATACTTTTGGAATATCATTGATTGAATTTGGATTTGAGACAAGACGATGTATTCCCAATCAAAAACACTCATCATTTTGTTTGCATTATCGTCCTGTTTTTATTAAATTCTCTTTGCTTGAGGACAAGCAAAAGTCTAAGCTTGGGAGAATTTGATGAGTGGATAAAATATTATTACATTCATGCATTAATTTAGGTTAATTTCATATGTTGTTGCATTATGGGAACGATTTCATCATGAATTATCGTTGTTTTAGATCATACATGTGGTTTGTGCATTGTTCTTGTAAATAGGTGTTTGGAGGTTTAAATTCATAGTTTGGAGGGAGTTGGTGTCAAGATAGAAATATTTCATATCAGCAAGTTCCACAAGTACCTTGTGAAATGTTCCACAACCTGTGGATTTGGTACCAGAATGCAAAGATCAAGATCAGAGAGCTCCACAGGTGAGTTGTTGATGTTTCCACAACCTGTGGATTTGTGGTTCAGAAGGCACAGTTGAAGTCAGAGAGTTCCACAGGTGGGTTGTGGATTTTTCCACAACATGTGAAAATTCAAGACAGTTATGAGAAGTGGTAACTACCTCAACAAGTGGAGAAAAAAATGTGGGACACCCTATAAAGAAGGTGGAACGAAACTGAAAAGGGGGGAGAACCATTCTGGAATTTGGGACGTTCTAGTTATTATCTTTTAGCAATTTTTACATTATGCAGAACTGATTTTCCTGTTGTTGGAGGATTGATGTAGTACTCTGAATTATATTTTCTTGTTCTTGAAAATTGATGTTTAGTTAATGTTCTTTATCTCAGTGTTCTATTTATAATTTTCAAGTTCATTCCACGAGCAGTTTCACAATTGGGAGATTGGAGGTTGTTCACGATCCTAAATATAACAGGTTAGGGTTTGTCACAATTGGGAAATTGGGCATATATCTAATTATTTTGCAATAGAGAAGATTATTGTTTTTCATGATTCTATTGAATGGCGTAACTGACCTAAGGGATTGGGGGTTCGGATTCAATGAATAGTTTTGCCTACTAAGGGATTAGGGGTAAAACAACTCTAGGTAAACTCAAGTGGATAATTACATTTCTTGCATCAATTGAAAGGACTGGAATTATATAAGAAAGGGTATGAAATCAATTCTCTAACAGATCTTATTTTGACTAAAGTTCTTATTATAATTCTATGTTTGCTATTTTATCCAAATTTTCAATTGCTCAAACTTACGTACATTAGGAATCTAGTATTCAACAAATTCAATCCCAGAGGACGATATTTTATTACTACGTTAACGATTGGTGCACTTGCCAAACGTTCATCAAATCGTCGATATTATCCCTAGGAGGGGCCAAATATTTTATGTCAGTGATGATAATTATTACTCCAAGAGATTATGGGTGTACTGCATCAAAAGGAAGTATGTGTTTCCAAAGTTCAGGAAATTTAAATTCTTGGATTATGCTAACAATGTAAATGGGTATTTTTTGTGGATCTTACTATCCACAAAGTTATTGTTAGCGGTGATACAAATATTATTTTTCTTCAAGACGAACTTAGAAAAATAATTGGTGTGCTCCAATCAGAAGACATAGGAAACTTGATTTGAGTGTTGACTAAATTTTTGTATGCTTTAAATCGGGTGTTTATGTCTTAATATAAGAGATTTAAGTTTTCATTATTAGCCTTGATTACAATAGATTAAATTCAAACTATTATACCTATTACAATAGATTTGATAAGAATAATTTTATTATTTTGTTGTTGTATGTGGATGACATGTTGGTGGTAGGCTCCAACAATGTTCGAATCCAGGTTTTAAAGGCACAGTTGACTAGGAAGTCTGATATGAAGAACTAGGGACCAACAAACAAAATTTTAGGGATGCAAATTCATCGAGCCTGAAAAGATAGGAAGGGAGGATGTAAGTTATCTTAAGTATAAGTCCTAGCAATGAAGCAAGGAGGATGAAAATGTATCAAATACTGTATGCGTCGACGGTGGGAAGTCTTATGAATACTATGATCGATACAATACCACACATTGTACAAGCAGTGAGAGTGGTTAGTAGATCAATGACAAATTATGGTGGAGAGTATGAGTATGATCAAGAGAATTCTTATCAAAGGAACCTTGGATGTTGTATTATATTTTAGAGGATCAAAACTAGTTGTCAAGTACTATGTTTATTCAACTTTTGTAAGTGATCTTAATGATTTTACCTTTGTTAGAGAGACAATAACTGATTATCCTGTTGGCAAAATTTGGGTCATGTATATATATGATACATAATTTAAATGTGTTAGGGTCATTATTTATTAAGCCAAATAATAAAGTGATCTGAATAAATTAAAGTTTTTGGCTAAAGGCATATGTCATGAAAATAAAATTGTGTAGAGACCATAGAGTAATTTCTAATTTGATGAGGGGCCAAATTGAAAATACTAAAACTTAAGTAATTAACCTAATTTTGGTTATTTTAAGGGGTCATGGTCCCCTTCTGGGAGCACACAGACAGAACGAAGTTACAGTCCCGTTCTTTTCTTTTTATCCCCATCAAGAGAGAAAATCAAGAGGGAAATACAGGTGCTCTTCAGGTGGAAGATCATAAGATCAATAGTGCTCTAAAAGCGACATCATCATTATGACTAATTCAGGTATGCTTTCGCATTTAGTTTATAACATGTTTATGAGTATGGGATTATTTTATATTTGATCGTTAGATTGAAGATCATATTTAATTATCAGTTTACCTAACAATTGGTATCAGAGCAACCCATACTTAATTCATGTTTGTCTTTGGAAATTACATTTAACAAAATTCAGATTCTGGCTAATTAATAACCCTAGTTGGAGAATAATCTTCAAATTTTATGAACCCTACATTCAAATTTGGGGTAAAATCCCCAATTTTAAAACCTAGTTTCGAATTTGGGGTAAATTCCCAAATTCCCAAATCGAGCGGAGACGACCTATCTCTAGTGGCACCACCCGAACGACGTCGTCTTCTGGCAAGATGCTTTCAACTTCCGCCACAACAAGAAGTCTATCCATGTCGTTCCAGGGCGAGTCGTTTTGGATCACCGTGAATAAAGCCAAATCAACAACGAACCTCGAATCTTCCACGAGGGTTTCGAGAGTGCTGGTTACGAGAGTTCAAGCTGAGAGCGGTGAGCGAGAAAAAGAATGATGATATTACGATCAAGATGCAAACTTGTAAAAATTTGTGGCATTTCTATTTATGGGTCTCTTCGAATGTGCATGTACTCGACGGGAAGCATTGTGGCAAGTCTTGAAAATCGCGTGTTGAGGGTTGGGGACCCTTTCAGTCCAGTGAATCCTATTCTCAACCGATGGGTCGAAGAAGGCAAAGAAGTCACCCAATTTCAGCTCCAATATCTCGTTCATCGCCTCTCTCAATCTGGTCGCTTCACACATGCCCTTCAGGTTATGGAATGGATGAGCAATGAAAGGAACTATAACTTGTCTCCAGAAGGCATTGCAAAACAGATCAACCTAATATCAAGAGTCCATGGGCTTGAACAAGCAGAGAGATATTTTAGAGGCCTCCCTGATGCTAAAGTTGAGTTTAAGATATATGCTGCTCTTTTAACATGCTATGTGCAGCATAATAAATCTCTGGAGAAAGCAGAGACAATCATGAAGAAAATTAAGGAGTCTCATCCTGCGAATATAAATGTGTTATAATATGGTGTTGAATCTCTATGCTCAGATGGGTAAATATGAGAAATTGGATAGGTTGATGCGAGAAATGAAAGAGAAGGATGTCTTTAATGGTAGTACATATATCATATGGTTAAATGCATATGTGGCTGCCTTAAACATAAAGGGTATGGAGAAGTTGCTTATGGAAATGGAAGTTGATCCCTTGGCAACCATTAACTGGTGTACATACACTACTGCAGCAAATGATTATCGGAAAGTACATAATTTTGAGAAGGTCACGGCAATGTTAAAGAAATCAGAGCATTTAGCCAGAGGCAAGACTAAGAGACTTGCTTTTGAATCTATTCAAACCATGTATGCTATGATTGGGAACAAGGATGAGGTTCATCGGCTTTGGAATATTTGCAAAAAATTTTAAAATTTCCTGCAACTCAAGTTACATGAGTATGTTGAGCTCGTTAATAAAGCTGGATGACATTGATGAGGCAGAGAAGATCTTGGAAGAATGGGAATCTAAATATGTAAATTTTGATGCCAAAATTCCAAATTTGATGATCACTGCTTATTGTAAACGGGGTCAGTTCGATAAGGCTGAGGCCTATATCAAACGGATTTTGGATGGTGGCAAGCAATTAGATGGAAGAACATGGGACCGAATGACATCTGGCTATCACGCAGGTAATGATATGGAGAAAGCAGTTCAGGCAATGAAGAAAGTTGTCTCGGCAAATCTAAGTAGACCACTTCCCTTTGTTCTGATTGCATGTGTTAAATACCATAAGGAAGGAAAGAAAATATTTACAGTCCAATCCCGTGTCACCCTTTTTCGGTAAGCAGTCTGTCGTTTAGGATTTAGGGTCTGCATCGATTGAATAAGGGGCTACTTGGGAAGGTGGAGAATCTGGAATGGAAAATACTTGTTTTATGAATGCCAGTGGTGGATTCGAGTGCCATTATAATTTTTTTTAATAAATAAATAATTATATAAATTTGGTTTAGGGTTACCCTTATTAATATATTCAATTTGTTTGGTAGTTTAATATTTTTGTGAGCAAATTGAGTCAAGAAGTTACCAAAGTAACATATCTTGAATTGGGTAGTTCGTGAAAAATATTAAATGTTAGTGTTTGTGTATATTCATGCGAGTATTAGCGGCCCAAAGGAAGATTAATATTTGTCCGAATTGCATATACACATGTAATGATAAACATGTGATAATTATAAGGATTTGCTTTGTCGATGATAAATCAATCCAAAGACTGGTTTGTTGTTAGACGTGCTTTATTGTCAATGTTTGATTATTACAACAAGATACCTCTAGCAGTTAATATTACTGTCCAAAGACTTGATATTGATGGTGCATTGGGTGTCTTGAGATGGGTTAAACCATTATTTGAATATATATTTTATTGATAATTATTTAATTTTATAATTGAGCATAATTTATTTATTTCTTTTGTTCTTAATTCAGCTACAATTGCTTCTGTATCTGCCAATTTAAATTCTATTCCAGTCCTCAATGGAACAAATTTTAAGGACTGGAAAGAGAACATTGATATTATTCTTGGCTGCATGGATATGGATCTTGCATTAAGGACTGAGCAACCCCCTGTTCCTACGGATTCAAGTACCTCTGAACAGAAAAAAAAATTATGAGAAGTGGGATCGCTCAAATCGCATGAGTCTAATGATCATTAAGCGCAGTATCCCGGAGGTGTTTAGGGGCACTGTTTCTGAAAACATCACAAGTGTCAAAGAGTTCCTTGCTGAAATTGAGCAGCGCTTTGCAAAAAGTGATAAGGCGGAGGCAAACACTCTTCTTCAGAACTTGATCCCACATTAAAGATAATTTTTGAGATGGGAACTGTTATGTTCTTTGAGGATATTGAGTTTGGGGGGAAGAATAAGATTAAGAATTTTTTATTGGAGGAAGAATCGACAATAAATCCAGAACCGATTCAAACAGTTACTTTTGATAAAGTAAGTTCGGAACCTCCACAAGACATTGATGATAAACCTCATATTCAAGATGATTTGATTGTTCATCAAGACCAAACTCAAGATCCTCAAGAACCTGTGCGCCATGAGCCGGGGATACTCCAGTTACTAAGGGAGACAAGTTTAGTCTAAATTAGTGCCCAAAGGGGAATTTGGAAATTGAGGAAATGCAACAGATTCCCCATGCATCAGCTATCGGGAGTTTGATGTATTTCCAAATATGTACACGTCCATACATAACATACATAGTTGGGGTTCTAGGCAGATATTTAAGCAATTCAGGAATAGACCATTGGAAAGCAGCAAAAAGGGTCATAAGATATTTAAAGAGAACAAAAGATTATATGCTCACATACAGGAGGTCAGACCAGTTGGAGATCGCTGGATTTTCTGACTCAGATTTTGCAGGATGTCAAGAATTTGTAGCATGCTATGAGGCATCAAATCATGGAATATGGCTGAGAAATTTTGTCACAGGGCTGCAAATTGTGAAAGGCATTGAAAGACCACTTAAGTTATATTGTGACAATAAATCAGCTGTATTGTTAAGGAAAGAGTACAAAGTGGACAAATTTCCATAGAACATTTAAGGACAAACTCCATGATAGCATATCCTCTAACTAAAGGACTTCCGCCCAAGGTCTTTCATGAGCATGTTGCTCACATGGGTGTTTTACAGTTTGAGGAATTTGTGGTTTAGTGAGAGTTAGTCACTTTCATATATTTTATATTCTATGTTTAATTTCATATATGTATACATTGATTTTTGAATATATTTGCTTATCTATAGATATGCGGTTTTTTCGTTCATTCATTACACTTTGTACATTAAAGATATTATATCGATCTCGATAAGTTAAAGTTTGGACCAGTTGAAAATAGACGTGTACAGATCACCTTCACGTAATTTTCATGCTACACATTTCTTGATGAATCCATGTCATTTGATTATGTTAGGATGAGTAATCATTGTTGGTTTTAATTGCGATGATGCAATGAAAAGCTGGTTTGGTTCTATATCCTGATATGATTAATGGACAGGACTTTTGGAGTATGCTAAAGGAATATAATGACAATTTTGAGCTCATAAAGTCTAACACATTTGTAAGGTTGTAAGGACATATATATTTGTGACCAGTGGGAGATTGTTGGCAAAATTTGGGTCATGTATATATATGATACATAATTTAAATGTGTTAGGGTCATTATTTATTAAGCCAAATAATAAAGTGATCTGAATAAATTAAAGTTTTGGCTAAAGGCATATGTCATGAAAATAAAATTGTGTAGAGACCATAGAGTAATTTCTAATTTGATGAGGGGTCAAATTGGAAATACTAAAACTTAAGTAATTAACCTAATTTTGGTTATTTTAAGGGGTCATGGTCCCCTTCTGGGAGCACACAGACAGAACGAAGTTACAGTCCCGTTCTTTTCTTTCTATCCCCATCAAGAGAGAAAATCAAGAGGCAAATATAGGTGTTCTTCAGGTGGAAGACCATAAGATCAATAGTGCTCTAAAAGCGACATCATCATTATGGCTAATTCAGGTACGCTTTTGCATTTAGTTTACAACATGTTTATGAGTATGGGATTATTTTATATTTGATCGTTAGATTGAAGATCATATTTAATTATCAGTTTACCTAACATATCCAAGTTATAAAATGTTGTAGTTCTGTCTATTACAGAAGCTAAGTACATGGTAATCACTCAAACATGTAAGGAACTTATTTAGATTAAGAGGATAATGAAGGAACTCAGACACAAGCAACAACAAATTGTTGTGTACTGTGATAGTCAAAGTGTCTTGCACATTGTAAGAAATATTACCTCGTATTTTAGGATAAAATAAGAAGAACCTAGCAGATGTTATGACAGTCAATTAGTAGTGACAAACTTTCATAGAGACGATCCTACTGAAGGTTTATTGTAATAACAACATGAAAGATAGTAATAATATATTATGAATATTTAATTAATTTAATCAAAATCTCCAAGTGGGAGATTGTGAGAATATGAGAAGAGAAGTCTCATATATCAAGAAACTTATGTATTGATGCTTACTTTTCTTGTTATAAAAGGAACATCATGTCTATCTTGTAAATCACCACAAATCTTTTCCTTCTCTTTTCTACTATTGCATTGGACGAGTAGTTGAGTTCTCTTATTTCTAAGAAATAATATTATTATCGTTTTCTCCTTAGATTTAAAGAAGATATTGTAATTTCTTCCGGTAGTAAAATTTTATTATTGCATATTATTGATTTTGTTTCTCTTTTATTTTAGTTGTGAGTTCGTTTGCAGTTACTTTAATTCCTAACACGTGATTGAAATCCCAAAAGCAATCGTGGATTCAAAGACACATACATAGAATACTAACCTACTAACCTCAAATATACATAAAACGCTCTAAAACTTGAATTCAAAAAACGCTCTAAAACTGGAATTCATTCGGAGAGAAATGTCATCCATCACAAATGGTCAAAATGTACCTTGAAAGGAGCTAATTTGATTGATGTCGTCATATCGAGTCGAAAACTCTCACACGAGAGAAGAAAAAAGAAGCTCAATAACAATTAAAACTCGACATTTATATTGGACCTCATAAAAATCGATGTAAATGCTACTTTTTACGTCATAAAAGCTATTTTTTATATCGGTTAGTGAACCACCAAACATAAAAAATAACTTTTACATCGACATTTAAGATATTTTGATGTAAAAATAGTATTCCTTATTTACAAAAATGTCACCATATTTTTTTAAAATATAATTAAAATATTTAGATCTTGAATTAACTTTTTTTATAAAAAAAAAAGTGTAACTTAGTAGTTTATAAGACAAGGGAGATCATGACCGTTAACATGATTATGATGAAGTGTTTAATTTTGTCCGTTAGAGTTTTTTTTTGAAGTCTTCATCAAATAACTAATAATTTTGGAGATAATTTGAACAACTCCATCACCCTTCACAATTCAATAAACATATGGTTGATATACCATTTTTTTAGTTAATATGTCAAATAAAAAATTATAAATAATTTAAATTCATTTTCTGTTCATCTAGTCGTACTTTGATCGCACTTTTTTTTTGTCTTGAGAAAAGAAATTCGTATGGCAAACCCGTCATAACTCTAAAATATCGTCTTTAAAAAAAAAAGTTAATTCTTACTATGAAAGAACAAGAAAAGAACCATGCTAAAATTACATACTGCTTAAAGTACAAAAAAAAAACTCCCACTAAATTTATTTCTTTTTCAGACTTTGATAGTTTGAGCACCGCCATTATGTTTCACTGTCAACAAAGCTCTTATACCCGACACAAAATGGGGGTGGGGTAACTAACGGATTTGGGGCTCTCAAAAAATCATTAAAAATAGAACGAGAAGGATCAGATCAACAATAAATTGAAGAATTCCAGTCCATACATATTTATTTATGATTTCTTTCTTAATAATACATAACATCACCCATTATATAAATACATGTATGTTTGTATGTACATGTACAAAAAATTGAAAGAATATAAAAAAAAAAAAAAAAAAAAAAAAAAAAACTAAATATTTTTTTTTAATATGACGTCTTACAATATCTAAAATTGGAGAAAGTTGTCAGCTTCAACGAATACGACTCACATGAGCAAAGGGCTCAGTACTAGCTTTCGGCGCCGGTTTGGAAGCCTGGGGAGTTCCAAAAACATTCCAAAATTTCAGAGTCTCGTCCCCTGCTGCAGAGGCCACAGTACACCCATCTGGACTTTGCGTCATAAACAACACCCTGGAAGTATGACCCTTGAGCTCCCCCATCTTAAGCATGGAAGGATATTGCCAAAGAGTTAGCTGGTTCTGGGTGAAACCATGCGAGCTAAGCAACTCACGCTCGTTCTTGCTCCAGAGAAGAGCGCACACTTGTGAACCTGTGTTGACAGAGTTCAAGCACACCCCTGTATGGGTGTTCCAGAACTTAATGCAGTGATCACCACCACCTCCACCAGAAGCTAGCAGATTTGCCTGGAATGGACACCAAGCTAGTGCCTTCACAGCAGCTCTATGCTCCTCAAATCTGTGAAGCCAACGGGTAGCAGAATTTGAAGAGACAGTAGCCCTGTCCCATATGTGAATAACATTATCGTTTCCCCCACTCGCCAATTGTTGTCCTGAGGGAGACCACTTAAGACCACAGACCTCCTGCTGATGTCCTCTATAAGATTCAACAATATGAGACCGCACTCTAACATCGTTGTTAACGATTCTACCATCCATCCCTCCTGTTGTGAGAATATGATTGTTCCAAGACAGTGAACCCACTCGTGCTTGATGTCCACCTCTTAGTGTTCTTATCTGCAGTCACCAACTCAAAACCATTACACATCACAATGGATAGAAGTTTTCAATAAGAACACAAAACAAAAATTAATAATTTTCATAAAAACACTTGATATATGACTTTTTTTAAAGTAATTAGATTTTGATTTAACTATAATGAACTTAGACTGTGTCATTCAATCGTATCTGTGCTATCCTCAGTTCTAAAAGGTTGCTAGCGAAAAAATCTTCAGAGACAATGCATAGAAACTGAACCCTAAACCCTAAAATCTATGCAAACAAATATCAACTGTTTGACAATCCACGATTAGACGACTCTATAAACACCTTTCACAAGAACCTTTGCACTGTCAATTAGCCTATTCCAATAAAATTCCAAACAAAAATGCTTAAAAGGTCATTTACCATCCTAGAAGAATGAGAATCCCAGAGCTGGACATGAGAATTGTTCAACCCAATGGCTAAATGGCGCCCATCCGGAGCCCAGGACACACTTGTAACAGGACCATCTTCCTCATCCACAGTGACAAGTTCGGAGGTGGAGGTGTCATCGGCATTCCATAGATACACCGAGTTCCCAAGAGCAAGACTAAGAATATTGCCACTACCCCAATCCAACAGGTTCAAATAAAAGTCATCCAGTATATCAGGAGCATCCAACGTCCTCTCAGAACTCTGACAAACACTTTCAGAACAGTTACAACACAATTTCAATTTTAAAGAGCCTGATCAGTAAACATGCAGAATGTTCAATTCAATTAACATACCTGAGGAATGTAACGTCTGGGCTTAGAGGATTTGGGTGGAGGAGGAGGCGAAAGGACGCACTTGGGAATGAGTTCAACAGGCGTTGGGGGTTTGTTCTTGAAAGCCAAGATTCGAGTCCGATTCATGTTGAAAGCCTCCGCGAGTTGCTTCTGGTATGCTTGTTGAGATGGTGACGTCACCACGTCGTTTTCCTTCTCCCTGCCCTTCTTGTTGCCCTCCGTGAGCATATAGTGCGCGTAGCCGAAGTCCATCGCAGAGCGATTAGGAATAAACCTGTCCAACTGTTTCATAAAATATGTGAACAAAAACTTATTGAGCAAGGTTTGAGAAAATGAAATAAAGAGGTTGGGGTTTACATTTTCTTGAGAATTCTTAGTTCGGAAGAGGCGACCCTGGAAGGGGGATCTGGAGTTGATCTTGGAGGAAGAAGAATTCCACAGTCCCGCGTCCATGGTTAGAAGCCCTGCAAAAAACAGAGAAACAAGTAAGAGGGATGAGAAAGGAAATGAAAAACAGAGAGAAGAATGAGAATGATAATAGCGATGAGCAGGGGAAGAAAGGTAGTGGTTCGATTGCAGCCTCAGACTAAGCGCGTTCAGATAAGAGAGAAAGAGATGAATCAATCGAAGACGTAGAAGAAGAACCCATATATGCTTGAAAAAAATACCAGGGTTTCCTTTTATAGGGAAAGTATCCGTTGAAAGTGGTATGACGAAACTACCCTTCACCTCTAATTCACGTCGTTTTGCAATGGGGGTAAACTTGGGACGATACGCCAGCATCTTTCGCGGCCTACTAATATTAGTCATTTCATTTTTAATTTAATAATAAAGTTATGTTAGGATTGAAATGTGTTTTTAATATCTAAAAATTATTTTTTAAATTCATCTCACTTTAATTTCTTTCTTTCTAGTTTATACATTCTACTAAAAATAACTTATGTTTTATTTGTTCAAAGTATTTTAACTAACAAAAGTTAACAAGAAAAAAACATATTTCCTAGTATTACACGTAAATAATTTTAAAGAACATAAAAACACTTATAAAAGACTTGTTAAAGTGATAGTATTTTAAATATTAAAGAAGAAAGTCACATAATAATAATAATAATAATAATAATAATAATAATAATAATAATAATAATAATAATTACAAACAGATATGAACTTGAATGATAAGAGAATCAACTACGTAAATGAACCTCGTCATGCTTCTCAATTAGAGTTTTCCAAAGTTGTTGTACACTCCATGAGTCTATACAACATCTCTCTAATTTTAATTTTTATAAATTACATGTCACAACTTTTAGAACTCAACAATCTCTCTCCAAAAATGAATTTGATGGTGCATTGAAATTTCAATATTCTTCATTACAAAGATACATAACATCATCTAATAAATTTATATCAAATCGCTCTTTCATTTTAAATTTGAAAGTTTTGTATTACAATTTGTAAAACTCAATTGATGTCTTTCCTCAAATGAATTTATAGATAATTATATACTTGATTTTTGTTAGAATCATAGTTTAGACCCTAATTTTGGTGTCTAACAAAATATATATTATTTTTAGTTTCAAATGGATGACTTTGTCTATTGCAAAACGAAAGCTTCTCTAATGTATTTCATAGTGTTTGTTTTATTATCTCAAGCATACAGTGAAGTAATTGAAAAGTAAATATCCTAATCGTCTATGATAAAGCATATTCACAACAGAATCAATCCTAATCTTGAATATGCATAAGGAATTCCCAGTGGTCAAAATATGTACTTTTCATAAAAAGGACTTGCACTACTACACATGAAAAGAAAGATATACCTGGAACTTTGCACTATCTAAATTCACATATATTTTTAAGTTTAACAATTACTCAATCAATTTTTTAAATTTAGGATCAAGATAAAATTTATCATAAAGCACAAAGATTAAAAAAAACACATTTAACCCTGAATAACACAGATAAAAGAAACTTATGTTGTAGTATAGTAGGTGGCATAGTCAACTCAAATTCTTACACTTACAGACATCAAAAGTTGCACAATCGAATAAGAAGGGCTGTACATCCTAAGAGTTAAATATTTTCAAAACGCGTCTTCTCTGAACTTTTCCTCATATTGATGTGGCCTGTGATGACTTAAGCATGATTAACATGTTAAATGAAATAATACATGAGATTAGACAAACTAAGTGCACTTCACTTGGCACTGGAAGTGCATTTCCAACTCAGACCTGCTATATATGTCTTCATGGATAGTCTTAATTTCCAGCTTGAAGTTTCATCCGCCGCAAGGAGAGATATGCCAACAAACGGTAACCAAAAACCATTGCTAGCAGAGCAGCAACCTCTGTGAATCCACTGTCAAGTGTGATCCCATTTATGGTAGGTGTAATGTGTTCATATTGAACCTTGAGTAGAAGTTTATACGTATGGTAGTTGAAAGAGAGGTAGCGAATCCAAGATATGAATACGGGGACTTTCTGACAAATTCAGAAGCACGAGTCAGTTGCATTTATTTAACATTAAGAAAATTTAGAAGAAGTTTCTCTTATTCGTTGTTATAAAGTTCCCGTATTAAATGATGACCTTTTTTTATTCAATAATTAAATGAGAATATGTTAGTGGGCTTGTGTCAGGAAATGAGGATTTTGTGTTCATTGGATTTTTTTTAATTAAATTTACCTGCACAAAAAATCCTCCAGCCAGCATGAAAGTCATCACAGTTACTGAAGCCAAAGTTGTTGCCCTTTTCAAGTCCATTAGTGTAGCCCCAATTGCAAGTCCAAGTCCCTGTTTCACAACCAGTCGTAATTAGAGTTTTATGTCATTTTTGGTTTCTGTTATTTACTCAGTAGTTGGATTATGAAATACAATGTATACCTGAGCTGCTATGATGCAGAGAAAAACTGTAAGAATACTAAGGAAAAAACGACCTGCACTGAGTCTCAAACTGGCCATGAAATAAACAACAACGAGGAAAAACACTGGTAACACTAGGTCTAGTGGAAGGTCACTTGTAGTTCTGGCCACGAAATATGCACTTAGTCTGTACATATCCGTTGTTCGTTCCTTAGTCAGCATGGCCCGCTCTTGAGGAAATGTGAATATTGCAGTGAAGACAGGAAAAAATCCCCAAAATACAGCAATAAAGAAAAGAAGTCCTGCCTACAGCGAAAAATGAAGATGTTATTAATGCTTGATGTTAGAATCTGATTCTGGACTTTAGTTCGCTCATGTTTCTGTATGAGCCCTTTTAAGAGTGGGGAATAGGTTCTTAGCGGAAATAGTTTACCTGATCTTGCAAACCATTTGGGTTGTTAGCATCTGATTGCCACCAAAGTAATCCTAAGATGACTGCAGTGGAAAGAACTTGGGTGATTCTCAACCAGCTAAAATAGTCGTGCCTCCTTTCTTTCAATCCTCTTGAAAATAATATAGAAAATTGCTCAAACCAACCTGCCCCCCACTCTCTTTTGCAAGAATAAACCTTAGACTTCAGTTCTTCATCAAGGGGGACAGGAATCATTAACCTTGTCTTCTCTATTTCTGCCACACGAGAATCATATGCCTCCACCAGATACTGTTAAAGCTCAAATGCAATCAGATGTGAAATTTTTTTCTCTCAAGTCTCTTTTCTAATTAAATGAAATCGAAACTAATAATAAGAGTTTACCTCTTGTACAGTTGAAGCAGATGGTTTGTCATTGCATGTTTCAACTTCAGCATTTCCCACCTGCACTTTATCCTTTAACTCTGATGGTACAGAAATATCGTTTACGTTTCCATTTGCAAGGTCTAATAAAAACTCTGCTGGGTTCATGGAAATAAGAGGTGCACACCCTATAAACTGGAAATAGTCCATTGCTTCAGATGCTTTTCCGAAGTAAAGCAAGCTCCCTTTTCCTAGAAGGATCAACTTATCAAATTTATGGAAGAGTCTACTTGATGGTTGATGGATTGTTATCACAACGGTTTTACCAGCCTGATATAAGACAAAGGTTAGCAGTGATAAAGATTCAAGTGATGATGAAAGTTGGTCCCGATATTTTCCGGACCCAATTGATGAAAATTCCAATCAGAGGTGAGGGAATTAATGTGAATAATATTATAATATATAGTTAGATGATTACACTGCTAAACTTAGTCAATTTTATAGGATTAATTTAATTATTTGATGATCTTTGAAATATAATTGGAGTCCACCTTCCAATAATGTGCTGAGTTATAGGACTATGTTAATTATTTTATCATCTTTAAAATATTATTGGAGTCCACTTCCCAATAATGTGTTGACTCTCTACTAATATCGGGACATTAATGAGTTCTACGATAAGTTTACCAATCTGACCATTTTTGAAAATATAAAAGTTTTCTAAAATTAAAAATTATTTCTATTCCCTTAAACATTTAAAAAGAAAAAAACAAGTTAAAGTCTCTTTTATTGTTTAAGAAAAAAATGCAAATATTATTAATTAATTAAATAATAATTAAATGGCAGAGTTAAAGAATCAAAATAAAAAAACAACGATTTTTTTTTCTTTTAACATATAAAGAAGCAAATATCTAAGACCTTTTCCATTTGATATTAATGTTTTTATACTCAAAGGGATGAATGAGAAGAAACACCTCTGCTATGTCTTGTAGCAACTGAACTATCCTTAAAGCTGTTGTAGAATCCAAACCAGAAGTTGGTTCATCAAGAAACAGAAGAGAGGGGTTGATTATGATCTCATTGCCGATACAAACCCTCTTCCTCTCTCCACCGGATACTCCTCGAACATAGGAACCTCCTATCATAGTGTCTTGGCACCTGTTTTCATACACCTAAATTATACTGATTGACTTTTATAATTAATATAAAATATTTATCACTCACAAGAGCTCACAACGCATATTAAATTTATAACAGTGCTATATTTTCACCACGCTTATGCTCTTTCGACGATTATGACTTTTATCCTGATCACCATAATTGAGACGCTCATTGTCATAGATGGAATTTACCTCTCCAATCCCAGCTCTTCGATGACATCTAAAGCTCGTTTTTCCTTTTGTTCTTTCGTTAACGTATTTGCCAATCTTAAGCGGGCAGCATACATCAATGTTTCTCTTACAGTAAGGTGAGGAAACAGAACATCATCTTGTGTCACGAATCCAATCCTGCAAAGTGCATGCTTAGTTTAAGCATCGTATAAACTAAGATAACATTTTACATGGACTACGACAAATATAGGGACCGCCAGAGATTAAAATATAAATTCTGACTATCTATGTTTCCAAAATTTTGTGGGCTACCATGGCCACAGCTTCTATCTTATCAATTTTCTGTTTATTATTAAAAACAACTTTGATCGTGCAAAAACCCGGAGTTTTCGCCTTACATTTATATTTATCTTGCTAAGAATTCAATCAGTGTTTTAAGTTCCTTCCCAGTTTCAATGCTGATAGTAATTAGTAGGATTTTTACCTGCTCTTTAGAAACTTGGAATAAGGTTGGTCATTGTAAGTGATAGAGCCTCCAATTGTGGATTGAATTAACCTTCCTCCTAGCAGATTTAACAAAGATGTCTTTCCACTTCCTGAAGGACCCATCAATGCCAAAACTTCCCCAGGATTAACAGAACCAGTGATCCCCTTCAAGATATCCTTCTCCTTAGTTGCAGTTATGCCTTTAATCACTACCTTGTAGGTCACATCTGTAAACTGCAGATTCAAAATTAAGAACTTATCTAATTTAGTGGGATCCATTACAAACACAATAGAAAATAAATAAAGCACAAAATAAGCTCAATGCACGAAGGCATTTTTTTTCATAAAAATATTTTGTCTAACTATTCATACTCATACCCTTCTTTATCAGCCAAACCATGTTATTAAGCCTCACAAATAGCTAAAGCCTCGAAGCCAGAAAGGTTCCAATCTTGAACCTAGGTCTTTCAAGCGTATGAGACATAAAACTAATGAGTTGATGCCCTGTAGGAGGCATCAAAAAGCAATTCAGAAAAATTTTAGTAACAAGTTAGCTAGCACATGCTGAACTTTTATGTGGTGTATTACTAATCATTTATCTAGTTAACTAGAAAAAAGTGGTAGTCTTGTACATTGGCGTCACATGAAATGAAACTTTGTACAAGACTGAACCTGACCATGCTATATTGATAGCCATGTAACATGTTCTATTGGTAGCGTTGATCGCTAAATGAAGCTTCACCGTTGCCTGCCCAAATACATATATAGCACTAAATCAAACTCGTGCTCTATTCAAGGTTTGAACAGTAGTACCGGCAGTGGTAGGTGCAAGCAGGGAATTGAAGAGGAACATACTTAATTTTTGACACATAAAATGTATATTACCTTCAGATATATTGGCAGAGTAGGTTCTGTCTGAAACTTGGGCTTATGAGTTCCGGCTTCAATATCCTCCGCTGCAATATACATAGTAACTCTTTTTTATACAATTCACAATGGGGGAAATAGAATGTCCTTCATGCAAGAGCACCAGGCAGTTAATTAGTACGTAGCTTTACTTAGAGCAGTTGTGTGCTATAAATTGGAAAATGCATGTTTATGAGTATGTGTAGCTAAAACAAACACACGATGGTGTTTGCTTGGTAGGACAAAAATTAAACTATCGTTGATTTTTATAACCGTACGCAGGGATGCTGGAAGAAATTTCAGACGGACCATATCATTCGTACTACGTGATTCCTAAAAATTAAGGCATACAGGACAAGTTATAGAGCACTAGTCGTGACGATGACAAAATACATCAGGCTAACTCCGGCAGTCGTGAATAAAAGTCAAGCCAAAATTTAATGAAGGGGCCCGAAAATGTGACAACGAGCTTTCCCACAAAAAGGGAAAACTGGGTCCAGGTGCAACCTAGCTAATTGTCGTTATTCGACAAGTTATAAAGATGGCCATCTCCCCCGCATTGTAGTTATAATAAAAGGATGAAAACAAGATAGTCAACAAGTTAGGAAAAATATACATATCATATGTGAATCTAATTAAGTTTCTGTTTGTGATAATGCATCAGAGTAAATCCTCTCTATTTTGTCACACGTTTGACTGGAATATACTATTTTAAATAATTTAGATACAACATATCATCATTTTGTTAAATAGTTTAGATAAAAATTATTAAAACCAATTTAGTTTCAGTTGGAGAAACATAAAAACTAATCAAACATCAGTCTGCCCGCTAGAATCAAAGAATCGTGTTTAAACGTAAAAGTTCTTAAAACGAAAATTGCGTCCTAAATGTGAAATTACTGGCTATTAGCTCACTAAATTAAAAAACATTGGATTAATGCATTGGTGTAACATATCATTAATGTTTCTGAAACGAATTATTAGTCATGTTCAAGAAAACAAAACAGTACCATGAAGACACGCTAGGGAAAAATACACGTACACGGAGCATGTATGACATTATCATTATCATTATCGTGCTTAATTAGAACGACGTTACTATGTGGGTGTGTGGATAGCGGGGACCAATGTTGGGCATAGATTGTAGATGCATGTGGCTAATAAAAAAAAACAAATTATAGGACATATGCCACTATTTTCGGTTCGGGGAAAACTGTGAGTCACTTGTTTAAATTGGACCGCTATTGACGGAGAAGTCTTGTTTGGTTTGGATTGGACCCGACGAAGACAAGTCCACGTAACTGAAAACAGGTGAGTCAAGTATATGACGTAACACTACCACGATGCAAGTCAAGAGAGAAGAGGTTTAACCTACGAGAGTGGTATTCAATGATACTTTTTACAAAGGGTGATTAGTTGACATCCCGTACCTCTAAATCACAACTAAAAAAATTAATATAATAATAATAAATATTATTAGATATTAATATAGTCAGTTACGCAACAATTGTTAAAGAAACATTTTTCTTTTACAAGGATGCATAATAATATTCACAGCTAGATACGGACACAGACACACCCAACAAAAATAAAGAAACTAAGAAGCATTATTAGCTAGGAGAAGGAAGAAAGAAATGCATGTTCTATGGAACCCTTTAGAGATAACTAGCATGCAAATATTATAACCACGTATGAGACCACGTCATTAATATTTTATAATATTATTATTTGTATATTGTTCTCTTAACTAATGTATGAAAAAATAAATAACGAAACTTTGTGTAAAACAGCACCATTGGACTGTATTTTAAATCCAGTTATTGTTGGTTACGTCCTTGAGCCAAAAAGATGATGATATTTTAATAATCCAATATTCAAAAACATTTCATTAACTTATTATAATATTAAAATAATTAGTGTGTGCTCATTTTATCTATTTTCTTTGTGTTTAACTTATTTATCTTCGTTTTACCTACGAACCAAACAAAGTGTGAATGGTTGGGATGGACCAATAACTAATTAGTACCACTGGCAATGCCCGCCAAATTATATGAATCACAAGTACGTCTCGCTTTGTACTTTCCTGTGACCGTTTTTAACTTTTTAGTATAATATATATGTATGACATGTTTAATTCAATGCTTAAAACTAGCATTCAATTAGAATATATATTATCATAAAATCACAGCATAATATTAAAAAAAATACTTATGTATTACAAATTTTAGTCATAAAAAAATTAAATTGATATTTTAGTCACAAAAATACAATAAATTTAATATACCCTCTTTAGAGATATTAGTGTTCCATGTAAATTATTAACAAATTTAATATACTAATTATGTATGTTGTAAAAAATAAAATACTAAAAATACCACAAAATTAAATATTTCTTCATTCATTTGTATAAAACAATGTAATTTATAAACTAAAAAAATGAAATTATTTAAACGGAAAAGGAAAAACAATATTACTTTTTTTTGTCATCACACAAAGATTACCAATTGTGGAAATCCTCGAGGATTGAGATTTTCCACACCTTTGAAGAGAGAACTGAATTAAAATGAATTAATTTTGAACTTGATTAATTTTATTAAAAGACAATTATTATCTTACAAAGAGAAATTTAATAAATTATAGTCATAGCCGTTTGAATATAATTATTATAATTTATATATAAATATAGAGCACCCGAAAATATTTTAGTGGTTATTGTAACGACACAGAAGACAAGTTTTTTTTTTTTAACCATTTATAACTGTGTTGTGCTTAAAAGGACGGAAATTAAACTCGTGAACATTTTAGAAAGGTTACATATGAATATGATCATCATGAGTAAGAAAACGAAATATAATCCTATTTTTAAGTGCACTTAAGGAAAATATTTAAACTCACAAAATGATATTGTTAATTAGTAATTCTATATTATATTGTAATATAAGTTTAAGATGGTTGATGAAACTAAAATTCGAATAATAGATCAATGCTTATGAGTGTGTGATTTTACTTACGAATATCATCGTCGCTGAAAGGTTTTGAATCGGCGATTTCATCGAGAGGGAGAGTAAAGCCAGTGAAGGAGAATGAGAGGCCCAAGCTAGCACTAGAAGCTCGGCTCAGAGCTACGCCGTTCCCAACCTCATCCACCTCCACCTTTAACTGAGCGCTCCTCGACTTCCTTATGTATACGTTTCTTCCTCCACCGCCATCCGGTGACGCCGCCGTCATTCTCTGGCTCGATTTCCTCGACAGCACTCCACCATCCTCCGCCGACGGCGGCGACTTAGTATCCGCCACCTGATCCGATTTCGTTCTCGCCAAGCTTGATGTACTTGCATTTTCCATGATCACGGCTCACCACCACTGTATATAGTTATCGATTAAATAGAGAGATCAAAGAGGATTCATCTTGCAAGAGAAGATTGACACCAGAAATTGAATAATTAAACTATACGAGACGATAGATGATTATGAGAAGATTGTTGAGGATTTTAACTCACCGTAGTATTTTATTTTTTCTTGGAAAATTAAGTAACGAACAGAGTAGAATCAAAAGAGAGGCTGAGAAGAAATTCGCGGGATTCGTTATACGACTTTTTGGTATACCAATCATGTGTGAAGTATTCACCCTTTTTATAACGGTCAGTTAAGGGGTAGGGACGAAACTACTAAACTACCCTTTTCTTTCGTCACTAATATCAGTTGCTCCAGGGTCTTGTATGGAAAGAAAATGTTGATTATGGTGGTTGGTCAAGAGGATTTGCAATGAGTTGTTATATGGTCATAAAAGTTACCCTTCACACATACTTCCTGCTGCTGCTCCTTTAGTCACTTCTTTACATTACATATGTTCTATTTTATTTTTATTTTTACTTTTTAAATATATTAATTAAAAAAATTATAATTTATTGCTTTAAATAATAAGGTGCTAATACATAACAGTCATCTTACCAGTGATGTTACTAGCATTTATATAAAACTTATGAGTTATAGATTAGGTGAAATTTTTTAAAATAAGAGAAATTAAGAGTGAGTTTAAAGTATTATTAAAAAAAAATGAAAAATTTTGGGTAATTTATAAGTAAAAAGAATTATAAATTAGTATCTTAAAATTTTAGGTTAAAAATAATATAATGTAAATTAAATTCATATTTGATTGATATTATTTTTTATTTTTTTTAAGAATCTCTTCTTCAAAGACTTCACAGAAGTGGAAAAGGAAAAGATTCTGTTAATCCAAGAATACCCTAAAAAATAAGGAAGAATTCAAAATATTGAATGTGGTGAAATATACTTTCAATTCAATGTAGAGGTATATAAATAGATCATAGTGTTATTTTTTTGTATTATTAGTGATACTCTGTTATATGTTTCTGAGTTCAAGAACATGGATTTAAACATATTTAAGAAGAAAAAATATATATAATGTTATGGTTTGGAATTTGCTTTTTAAAAATCATAATATTGTCATCACAATATATTTTCTTCTCATACTTTTTAAAATTGAAAGTAATAATATTTCTTCAATCCTTACACTGTGAAAGATAATATGCATAATTTATATAATATAACTTTTGTCATAAATACAAAAGTTTTTTTTTCCTTTTTTACGTGTAAAACTTGTATTTAACTTTTATAATTTTAAGCGTTTTATTTAAACAACCTATTGGTGGGAAAAAATCGAAAATCGAAAGAAGAAAATTCGATGACAACCTGTTGGTGGGAAAAAATTGAAAATCGAAAGAAGAAAATTCGATGACAGTGTGGTGGGGAAAATCGAGAACCTGAATCGAAAATCGAAAGAAGAAATTCAATGACAGTATGCTGGGAAAAATCGAGTATCTGAATCGAAAATGAATAGGAGAAATTCGATGACCATGTGTTAGGGAAAATCGAGAATCATAATCGAAAGAAGATAGAAGGAATTCGATGAACATGATTGAGAGTAAGAAATCGATAATAAAGTATTGAGTGTAAAGTTAAGTTTAAGGAAAATAAGAACCAGTTCAAAGTACTCGATGTCTAGAATCGAGATCGAAGGGAACGGTTAGTGTGCACATGGAACATGCGTAACGGTTTTTAAACCGTGGTTAAAGTAGAGATCGAGGGAACAGTTAGCGTGCACATGCAACATAGGTAGCGGTTTCTAAACCGTGGCTAAGGTAGAGATCGAGGGAACAGTTAACGTGCACATGGAACATGGGTAGCGGTTTCTAAACCGTGGCTGAGGTCGAAGATCGAGGGAGCAATTATCTCGTTCGTGCATGGGAATGTGGTAGCGGTTTCTAAACCGCTCTTAGGAAGTTACGTTGAAACAAGTCTATAAATAGAATGAAGCATGAAGAAGGAAGGAGAATTTTCAGAGATAACAGAAATCAATTATATAAGTCTACCGGAAAAAGACGAATCATGAAGTTTCTGCCGATCTGGATTTCCATTTTTATTGACTTTTGTTACATATTTATATATTTTCCCTTGTACTTTATCTTTAATGCAATCTAAATTTACGTGTCTTTACTTTTATGTTATTTCAATTCCTTTTTCATTTAAGCTTTCTTTACTTTCCCGGTAATTTATTTACTTGCAAGTTAAATTTATTTTCGTGTATTTTCCAGTGATTTCTATTACTTTTAGTGCAATTTAATTTTATGTCATTTACTCTTAGTGCAATTTAATTTTATGTATTACTTTGTTGCCTCGACATCTTTTTACCTGTTTTTTTTACTTCGCTAATTTTCATATTCTCGAAGTCTTTTAATAAAAAAAATACAAAAAAAGGAACTTTCGATTTTAGTCTGTATGTTTTGTTACGTTTTCCATGTTTTTAATATTCACGTTTTGTTTCATCGATTTGACTCGATATTTTGATACTTTCAATTTTTCATACATTTTTTATTAAAAAATTGTTTACTAATTTAAATAAAAAGAATTCACATTATTAAAATTTAGTTAAAACTTAAGTCTTTAGGAAATTAAAATAACTAAAAATTTTACCAACACAACCCCTCCTATCCTTTAATCATTGTTGCATCTTCTAATTTACAGCTTATTTTCTTTACATATTTTCTATCACGTCACTCACCTATTATATCGCATTTCTTCTCTTATAACATTATTCTAAATTAGAGTATAAAAATTGTTATGAAATTATTACGCGATAGTGGCGTAATGGTGAGTAAGAATGTTGATATCGTATTAGACACATTGACCTGGCATCAATGCCGATCATGTCTGCCGTACACGTATTGAACATGAATAGTTTTTTTTTTTTTTTTTTTTTTCATTTTCCATGAAATTCAGTGGGTTTAGACACATCGAGGATGTTTGTGTGAACTGGTTGGAATTTTGATGCCATGCATGAAGGACAAGGCTAGCGCTTTTGGTATATATTAATGAATGTTTAACCTTACATGGGTATGTCTTATCATCACTGATGTGTGTGCTAATCAAGTACACCTAATAAGGACAAATGGCATGTATAGTTTCGCTGAACTGTGTTGGGTTGGAGGGACCTCTGCATGTGTACAAACTTAAACTTTGCTTGCATACTATCACGATTACCCGCATTAGAGGGAACCCAGAGTTTTGGAATTTTGTATATCGAAAAGTTGTACTTTTTCTATTTTCAATATGATCATAAGAATCATTAGCTAGTAGTTTGCAGTGAGAATAGGAACTATAAGGTGTAGAAAAACTATACCTATCGTGCTTTATGGTCACTCTTCCTAAATAATGTTAAGAAAAAAAATGCATATGTTTTAGTTAATTTTATGAGGTGGTTTAAAATAGCTTCATTTCATAGTACATATACAACTCGGTTCATAATCAACTATATCTGCTTTAGTGTTTCTTTAAATATTTATGGCGTTGAAATAATCAAGATCGCACAGTCGCATATTCCTCAGTTTTGGGTTGGGTGTGGATCTTTTGTTTATACTAAAGATAAAGATGATATGTGTGACTGACTGCATGCATATATGTATATTTGGCATGGCTTTCGTTATCTAGGGCTAAGAATTTGGTGAAGAGAACACGGTTTCTACGTTGAAAAATAAGAGGTCATTCTCATGCAGTAATGGAGATTAAGATTCGTGGTGAGCATAAAGAATAGGTGTTGGGTAGAGAAAGGAGTGGACAAAAAGAGTGGGCCAAAAGGTGTTGTTTGGTGGTTCATGACGATAAGGAGCTGTCTCTATATCTTTTTTCTGTCCATGGTTGGTCGCACTCCTTTCACAATTACTCGCCACCTTTCACTCACTCCAAATCTGCATTTAATCCATCCCATTATTATATTCCAAACGCTGCTGATTAATTACCATTTCCACCTCACATGCAACACATTTCGTTTTTGGGAAGAAGATTAATTAAATAAAACATCGAAATACATACTAAATGAACCAATGCTCTATCAAATAATATGCTCTGCTTCAATTGTTTTGATGTGATGCAGAACATATCTATCATTGGCAAACCCTTCAACGCTTCAACTTCAAGTTAGGTAATTAGGTCAAATTTGTCAATTATAGAAGTGATGATGATAAAGATGGAATATTAAAAGAAATAGAATACATAAGGATTCCAAGGTTGCTCTCCCTTTACATAACTACTAGTCATTACATTACACTACTGGCCACTGTTCATAAAAGCTTGCTTTCAACTGATAGGGGCGGTGCCCTTAGTGTAAGGGAATCTCACGTGACAAGGACGTGATGGTTACTTAGATGGGTGTGTATGAATACGGTCCACTCACTTAGAGCTTTAATTTTTAAAAATACAAATTAAATTATTCTTATTCTTGCAATTTATTTATTATGGTTAATTAATACGTCAAAACAAAAATACCCAGTTCAGCCGTCATATCTCGCCAAGTGTGTTGCCCACAGTTCGCTGTGGACACGTCACAGTAGATCCATGACACGTGGCTTTTATACGCCCCAAACTCCTCCGTCGTGTACCAGGGATCATCACAATATTATGAGAAACTGACAATGGTGCTTACAATATCAAATAACTTTTAACTCATTTATTAATTTTTTTTTCTAATTTTTAAAATATTAATGCTTTATAATAACTTATATTTTTATAATAATTTATTCACATGTTATTTTTTGTAGTAACTTTTTTAAGTCTCACGATGAATTTGCACAATTGTTTAACTAAAACTTTCGATGTTTTTTATTCAATCAAGGATTGTTTAAATTTTATTAATTGTTTTGTGCGTGCCTATTTCCTTTAAACATTTCGCTCCAAGCCTGCTATCATTATTTGCGCGTAGGTGATCAATGAAAACAATGTTTTACTTTTGTAAGGATGTTTATTGAAAAAAAAAATACATTAAAGGGAGTGGAAATAAATTAACAATAATAATAATAATAATAATTATTATTATTATTATTTATGAAAGACAATTGCTAGTGACAATTTTAGATATATTTTTGGTTAAATTTGTTGTTTAATTGATATCAAAATATATTATTTACTTAGTTCTACACATGCAAACAAGTCAATGAATTTTTTTTTAATTCTATTAATCTACACATTTTTCTCCCTACTTTTTTTTATTAGGGTGATATAACAATTTATTTACACGTAGTTTATTTGGTTCATCTGTACAAATATTTGTTGAATGCATTAGTTAGAAAATAAATAAGTATTCAAATATATTAATTCATTTAGTTTAATTGTATAGATAATTGATGATTCATCTACTATTTTAAAATTTAAAATTAATGATGTAATCAATACTAAATTGGATCAAAATTAATCTAATTTTTTTTACATATATCTTTTCTCAATTAAAAAATAAAATATATAATTTTTTTTTACAAACTATATTTTCAAAGTCTGTTTTAGAAAATTAAAATAATTGATTTTAAAGTATACTAATACAAGTATAATAAAGACATTTATTCTAAGTATAAACCACTTTCAAATTGATTATTTTTTTCTTCATATCATTGGTTTATAATGAAGTACATTAACCATAGCCACATTTCCATGGAAGTAAATGCATGAATAATAATTTTTTCGGTTAAAAAATATTTCATTAACTAAAGAGTAATGTGCGCGATTAAATAAAATAATCTTTATAAACAAATTAACATAATATTTTTAGCATAACTTTTATATATATATATATATATATATATATATATATATATATATATATAATTTATCCATTTATAATTCCTGTTGTTTCTCTCTTTTACCCTTCTAACTAAAGTACAATTATCCACTCATCCTGTTCCTATATTCTTCTGCAAACAGAGACGTTGCATTCATGCGATTAGATACACACTTTTTGTATAAATATCTATTCAAAACGAGTCCTCGTTTAATTGGCTCCAACAAATTCATGTCTATTAAATAGAAATTATAATAAAAAAATATTTTATAATTATAATCTAAATATTTATTGATTATAAGACTATTATAAATAATATATTAATATATTTTAATTACTAAAACAAATAGAATTTTTCAATTAGTAATATTACGTTAATAAGTTAATAGGAATTTTGGTAAGAAAAGAATAAATATTTTATTTGATTTAATCAATATATGTTATATTTTATTTGATTTAATTAAGACATGTTATTTATTATATTTTAGTTTCCAGTACTAGTTAATTTTTTTTTATAATTTAATATTTATCAAATTAATAATTATTTAATTAATATTTATCAATAATAATTCTGAGATTTTTTCTAAAATTAAAGTTGTAGTCATGATAAATAAAATAAATAAATAATTAAAAATATAAATTAATTTATTAGAATCTAACACATTTATACGATATTTATAACTAATCTAAAATTTTGAATGAAATAATGTATTATATATTTTTAAAATAGTTATTGAAAGTTAAATATATGCTATTTTGTTTTGTCTATTGAAAAATATCATTATATGTTTTTTTAATATATTATTTTGATTTATATATTATTTCAAATTTGAGTTGAGTAGCTGGAGAGAAAGAGGAACATTTAAGAAGAAATGGAAGTTAATTTAAAAAATAATCATAAATCAATCCAAAAACGTGAGAACTGGTTAAAATTTAAATTTTATCAGAATTCTGTATTTTATTTTATTCTATAATTCAAAAATAACATAACAAAATAATTTGTTACATCTAAATATAATAATATATATTTCAAATTAATTATCTTCTATGTAAATAATTACATTCTTAAATGTTATTTTATATTTTATTTATGATATATTTAAATGAATTGAAAATATAATATCAACTTTAGATTTCATTTTTAATAATAATTTTAAGAAAATTAGAATTATAAATATAATAATTATATTAATTTTGTACAACATGTATATTTATTATAAAATGTTTAATAATCTGTTTAGAAGAAAATATTTATATTTTTTAAAAATTGTTTAATAATTTTAAAATAAAAAAAAGTTTAAACCGATTCACAAATATATGATTTAATTAAAATATATTTTTTTAAATTAAATCAAACAAAATTGCGAACACTCCTAATCTATATTATTAATAAAAGAGATTAATTTGTGGAAGTGATTTTTTTTTATATATACATCTCCTTTCCCTCTCATTCTTCATATTATATAATTACTTTCTAAAATTAGTTTTATTCATAATAAAATTGTAGTATTATTTTATTTAAATGTTTACTAGTAATGTATAATGATATAGCATATTTTACAAACTGTATTTATTTATTTTATCTTATTTTTTAAAAAATATTGTTATACTATTTTTTTATTTTTAACTATTAATAAAGGATTTTTTTTATTTATAAAAAATATTTCTCTTTATGTAATATTTTTTATGTATATATTTTTTTAAAATTTAGTTTTATCTATAATTATTTCTTAACTATTTTTTTTAATATGTAAGAAAATACATTGTAGCTGTATTTTGGTGGATGTCATTTCCTTCCCCTTTTACTCTTCGTATTGTATAATTTTTTTTTAATGATTCATTTATAGTTGATTTTTGAACATTATTCTTATAAAAGGTTGACCAGTAAGGTATACTGAAATGAGATAACATGTTATATAACTGCATTAAATTTTGTATCTCAATTTCAATAAAATATTTGTATAGTGTTTTTTTAGATATTTAATATATATGAATTATTATTTTTCCATAATAAAAAAGATGAGGTACATTATCTATAGTATATACAAGACTATTCATTTACTTCATAAATCAAATTAACTAAGTTGATTTTGTATTAGTAAGTTTATTTTTAATATTTCAATTTAAATAAATCAGTTATCATTGATCAAGTTATTAGTTTTCTCAATTTAAACTAATAATGACTTGTTCAATTGTTTTTTATTATAAAAATTATAACAGATTTTGTCATGATATTATCTAGAATGATGTGTCTTTATATAAATTTTATTATATTATAAATTATAATATTCTGGTAAATTTATTATGATAAATTATTATTAATATTTTTCTTAAATTATGTGTATTCAAACAGTGTATGATTATAGAAATGATTTTTTTTTATATCATACACTTCATGACAGCATTTCATATTTCTAATTTCTCCACTACTTTTTTATTTTTTATTTTTAAATTCTTTTATTTGGTTGTTTTGACTATAAGATAGGGGGTCCCAGGCTAAATATTTTTTATTCCCAGAATAAATGATGTAGCCAGCAGGTAGGAGAATAAGAAGATCATAGTTTTGGCCCAAGCCTAGGCAGGCCAGCCCAATCTAAATTGCAAAATTTCAAAACAGGAGGGAAACCAAAATTTTCATTTTAAAATGTAATGCACACGAAAAGAACAGATCATTTCCAGCAGGTCCCGCCTCTCTAGCTTGCGCTCCCCCTCTTTCTGTCGTCACTCCTCCTCCTGCTGCTGCTGTGAATGATACGACACAGTTCGCATTAGGTTTTCGAACGACACATTCACCTCTCAATTCGATTTTTTCCTTTCCTTCCTGCTATCAATTTGCGATTATTTTATTCAAATTTGAAAACCTAAACAATCTTTCTACATTCCCTGACTTAAAAGTAATATCAATATCACTACCGTCCAGAGCACTAAATTTGATATCTGATCGAGTAATTTCTGAATTCTATTGCAAATTCTTTCTGCTAGCTGAATCTGCACTTACAGGTTAATCTCGATGACGTTTGGTTGGTAAAAGTAAGTTCGGACGCGAGGAGGCATGGCAAAAGTGGTTCGACCGAGTTCTCATCGAATTGGCTCAGGGCCTTTGAAAAGTGGATCTATGGTTAAAAAGAAGACACCTTCAGAACTTAGGGTATGTTTATGCTTCCTCCCTCCATATATAGTCATGTCAGAATTTCAATTTAAGATTCAACCAAGAATCTCTTTCTGTCCATGTTGATAATTAACATTTTAATTATGATGGAGCAAAAAGTTAATTATCATTATCATACTGTACGTTCTTGCCAGGGAGAGCTATTGAAGCGGTCAAGCTTTCTGGACCATACTGCTGAATCTCCATCCCCTTTGGCTGATCCTACCAAGTAAGCTTGTGCTTCTCTATCAATCTACTATTTCATAATTTGCTGAGAGCATGCTTAATTTATGTTTGCAGGAACATTGAGGTGAACAATGGATTAAAACAATCAGGGTTGTGGAGGGCCCCTAGATACACTGATACACGGGTCGATGAGGTATTTGCTGCAAAAAAGCCCAGGTTTAAAATTGCATCTGGAAAGGAAAATGCAAAGGTTATTATTTTTTTCCCACTCTTGGATCATTTTGTTAATTCAGCTGACATTTGCATCAAACAATTGTTATAAGATGTTAATGTTGTTGACAATGAACAGTGCGATCTTGTTTCTGTTCCCAGGAAATTCCATCTTTTGCTCAAACTAGTAAGCTGAAAAATCTTTCAGTTTTTTCGACTTTGGAAGTTAAGGGACAGCAAGAGAATTCATGGTTTGCTTCATAGGTTTTATGTTTGTTTGATCCCGTAGTAAAGTTTTACCAATGCTGATCTTGTTCCATATTTGTTGTCAGCTTGGAGAATTTTGTTGTTTCTGGTGAGGCCAGCAAAAATAGTGTCTTACAATCTTGTCAAATATTTGAAAAGTGCAGCCAAGGAAAATTTCGAAGCGTTTCTGAGCTTTCATCAGCTGCCGATACATTTTGTGCCTCAGGTGCTATTGACCTGGTATATAAAGATAGTGTTTGACCTTATTTTAACTGTTTACTTACGCTTTAGATTCTCGTAGCTAGTTGATTAATACTCCTAATAATAAATTATAGGGAAAAGCATTAAGAGGACTAGCTGCACATAAAGCAAATTATACTAATGACACAACTGCTGATTTGGCTGAAGGACACGCTGGTTTAGGGAATTTCTTATCTGAATGGCATTTACCTGGCCAGAAGGTCCCTTTGGATCTTACTCTAAAAACCAGCATGCGGATTGTATACTCCACTTCTGTGAATTGGTGAGTCATAGGTGCATATGATGGGCTAATGCATTGTCATCAAGCCTGGTAGAAATAGGATGCACTGGACTGAATTAGAAATTTTTTACGCTGGGGATTTATAGTTTGTATATTGCAAAAAAGAGGTATTTAGGGTTTCCTTAATAGTTTTAAGAAGATCATTTAATTTTATGCTCAATGCCAATGAATGCACTGGTGAGTAAAACATTTTAATCATAACGATCAGGTTGAGCTACATGACCGGAGTCCAGAATAATATTGACATTTGATGTAATAATATGGGTGTTGGTAGAACTAAGGCATTTATTATGCATGTAATAATAATATGGACTGGCTTATATTTTTCATGATTTCAATATTTTCATTATTTGGATGAACTAGATACATAATGCCTTTTATAATACTTTTTTTAATCTTACTAACCATAGTATGTTAGCATTCTTCATTTTATATTTATATCATAAAAAAACTGTTTTGTCTATATAGAGAGAGCTTGTTTGGCATAGCATTGATAGCTTGACAGGAAACCAGTCTCTTCAGTTTATCTATGTGTTCTGAAGTTGCAGCACCTTTTTTTATGAGATTTGTTTAATTTTTGCATTTGTTGCTTGGTTTGGTGTCTCAACTATCCTTGATGTCTATTGTTGTCTTGTGAAAACTATTTTGACTTCCAAATTTCTTGATATATAGGTCAGTTATGCGTGGTACCATGCCTCAATTAGCCTTCCATCATAGTTATTTAAAGAGTGAAAATATGAGAGGTCCAGAGGGCTTAAATTCATGGATGTATCCTCAATCCATTCTACCGCCTTCTTTAATATCAGTCTTGAGCTCATCAACATCAGATGGAGGTTGTTAATTAGTTTTCAGCATAGCATTTATGGTTTATTCTTTGTGCTTTTCCTTTGACAATTTTCTTTATGTCCCTTCCTCTTTCTTCCCATGCAATAGAATTGGATTTCTTAAGGAAACGGCAAGTAGCTTGGGAAGAATCATTCCGGGACCTCTATTACATGCTTCGAAAGAACATTTGTGGCCTTTTCTATGGTAATTATGCAATATCTTCATTCTCTTTTGTCAGCTAATTTTGTAATATGTTTATCTGATGCTTTTATTTTACTTCTTTTATATTGCGTTTTCTATTCTGGGTTTTTGTTTGTCTGCTTATGAGACGTAATTTAATTTGTTTCTGCTTGAAGAACAATTATCTTGATAAAAAGTACACATGTTTGTTGTTTTAATGTAGGTTGTAGACTTCTTATGGTATTATTGATGCATACTTTTTGTTGTTGTTTGAACCTTCCAACTTCGTTATGCATTAGTTTTTATGAGCACACATACATTTATGTATCTTTTAACATTGAATGTTGCGGTTGTTATTTTTTCCCCTTTTGTTTTCTAGTTTGCACTGCCCAGTTTGTGGTGATGTTCACTGGCGGTGACAGCTCTGGGAAATACAAATGTTCGTGCAATGCTTATATCTCTCAGTCAACCCAAGGTTTAAGATCATTGTTAAGAGAACATGTAAGCTACTCATATTAAGTATACTGTGTAGCTTATTGATAAGTTACTAACTGCCTATTGTCATACAAGTTTATTTCCCTTTTTGGGGGGGTGGGGAGGTGGTACTGTTTGCCTAAGGCCAAAGAATGTTTTTCATTATTGGTATACTTACGATTTCCAGGAAATTCTCAGTATATTTATGATTTCTAGTAGTCTCATTGTTGTTGCCCTTTGCCAGCAATATCTATGTTCAAGTAGGAGCATAAGGAGTAATTGTTCTATGACTTTTCTACTACTGGCAGTTTGAACTTCACATGTAGTTTTCCATATACTTAGTACTCATGTTATTTTATGGCTTTTCTCTATACGGCTTGTTTATCAAAGCCTCTCTATCATTACATTGTTACTGTTGTTATTATTATAAATCTAGATGTTTGCCATTAATATATAATTCGGTGATCTGAGCTTTGTTTTGGTTGTATACCCTCTATTAGGATCTCTGTTTCTCCATGCCTCTTTGCCATTCGAAAGTGGAACAAGTTGCAACTGAGGATCTAGTTGAGTTGTCAGAGATAGAGAAGCAAAACTTAGGACAGGTTTGTATCTGTATGCTATTTATACAGTTAGTGTTTTCCTAATGATGTTTGTATTAATCTCTGAATGATTGAAATTATCAATTCCTTGAGATAGCATGCTTATTGCTTTCCAATTCTACTTATAAACTTGAACTGAATGTTGAAACTAAACTTATCTGTTACTGCTGGGTCCCAGTTAGCATTAACTAAACTATTTGGAGTTTAATTTTGAATTGCTTGTAAAAATGTTTTTTTGCTCTAAACTAAACTACGTGTTGTTGTTAAATTACCAAAAGTGTTAAGCTTTACTTGTATATCTAAATTAAACTCAACTAGTTGATGGATAAAAATATCATTAATAAATTCATTCATATGTTATTCAAATTGGTAATTGTCTTTCACTTTATGTTACTAATTGGTTTTCACTTTTGTGTTTCTTATGGAGTTGTGAGTTTGTCTATCAATTGACTGATTTATCTCCAACCTCAATACTGTATTTAATAATTCTATGTATAATAATTTATATTAATCGTTACTTGTTATCTGAAATAATGCAGATCAGGCGATTAGGGTCTTTCTCTGAAGTTGATAATAGTCCAGAATCTTTGCTGGTATTTAGTGGAAACAACAATGTACATGCTTTATACGACCTCTTACTCAATTACAGGTGACTGACCTTTTACTTTCTTTTAGCTTCCAGTTTTTTTATCAGATTTATGGCATGTTTTGATAAACAACTTACGTGTTTATGCAAGTTATTATTTGTAAGCTTAAGTGGTGAAGTTTATGAATTAAACAAATTATGCTTATTTGTTGTTTGCTCTTATATTTTCAATTATGATACCAACTAACATTTTTATTGTCTGCACTTTGCAGATTTCTCTTGACTTCACTGTCTAGCGTGGACGTACCTGTCTTGTGCTCTCCCGTGCCATTTCGAAATTCTGCTCTGTCTTCTCCTGATGTATGTCCTTGATTTCATTTCCTTTACTTTTTATTTCTCCTATGTAAGTTATTTATTGAACTATCATACCATTCCTTTTACATATTACTTGAGCAAGTTATATTAATAATGGTTATGTGGTCAGTGGTGTTGTTACTAGCTGCTTAAATTTTAAGATTTGTGCATTACTATAGTGTCAATAATGCGTTGTTATCTTCCAGAAAACCATGTGGAGGAATCCATTGCAAATTGAATTCTCTTTGACCAATTTTGTTTATAGCTGCAATAATTATTTTGTTATGCTAGCTATTGAAAAATAATCATACTTCTGTTTCTCTCAGATCAAATGCATGGAGACAAGACGAGCCGAAGATATAGCTGCTTCTCATAATGGGTCTATTAGGAAAGATGGGGAATCTATACAAGAATCACCAGATAGCATTTGTACCATTGAAATTAAGGATGCACTTCTCCCACCTTGGATTATTTGTCGTATGTGTGCATTGATGTCCTCTGAAGGAAGAAGCTTCGAGGCAAGGTATGAAAAGTCTTTATTTGGGTATACTTTTTGCACAAATTTGAGCTGTTTCGATAGAATAACTTCATGTAGTCGATACAGCCAGTTAGATGTTCACCTATAGCCGTGCAAACAATTAGGATTGTGGACGCATTCGAGGTTATTAAATGATAATATGGGTATGCCTGCGAATAAGTCCCAGGATTTAACTTCATACTAGTGGATGATAATAAACCTTGATTTTGAAAACAAATCATGCAGAGCCCACTGGACGCAGGAGCTTGACTTGGGTAATGGTTATCCAACCAAACCCATTCTCTAACATAAATAAATGGTCAAGTTTTATAATAAACTTCAAACAACCAGTTATTATATAATTAGTTAAATATGGTTAATTGGTTATAGTTATATTTTATAACTACGGTGATTTTTAATATGGTTTATGGTTGAACTCTGGTAGTGAAGCTTTCGTATATGTGAATAAAAAAACTTGGTATATATGTATGTAGGTCCAATGGAATTTATATAAGGATTTAGAAACTAAGATATTTTGGTTTGAGGAAACATTTATCCTTTCCTATCTTTGAGGAAACATTCATGAGCATTTCTGCAGCACATTGTCACGTTATACCCTACATAGTTGTTTGAAGCCTAAACGTTGTTTTTTTTATCATATGCCTCAGTTTTGCGACGGATTCTAGCTCAATTGGTTTGAATGTTGCCTTAAAATCAGTTTGTGAGAAGCCGGAATCTAAAGCTGCTGATAGTGAAAGCTTACAAGACCACATAAATACTTTCGGCATTTCAGAAGCTGTAGTCACTTCTCGACTGTGTTCATCTTCATTAAAAGGTGTAAAGTACAGTGATGGTTCTTATACAGCATCACTATCCCTTGTATGATCTTTGTCAAAACAAGGGAACTTACTTTCATCACATTAATTTATTTGAATGCCTACCAAAAATTAAAGTCACGGGATGTGTTGTACTTTAAATCCAAAACTACGGGAACAAGTTGCCAACCATGAATATGTAATATCCATGCCAATTGCGAGTAGCAAATTTTGGCATTTTGTTGCATTGAGCATTTCATTCACGATTAAAAGGCTATTACCTTATATGGGAAAACAAATCAATTTCGAACTGTGTAACTCATTGTTCCTGTACAAGTACTTTCAAGCTTCTTTCGTGTTCAAGAACATGTACATAACCTAGTTAACTCAAAATACTGCAAATTTATCATATATTCTTGTCCATTTGTCCGATAAGGATTTCATTCTGCAGTGCAGATGCACATGATCCACATACTTCCAGTTTAGTACAACGGTTAATTCGTTAAACATTTTCAGGAATAATTTATTTATTTGAATTATGGTTTTTGAATAAGAATAAAAAATATTATTGGAAGTCTACACGTGAGGATAATTGTTGAGAAGGTGCAAAAGCTCTGGCTGCATTAAGTTCATACTAGACAAACTTTTAGTTGCTACCATTGTTGCTCCTCATGCTGTTGTGCAAAAAAACAACATAATGCAAGCACAAATCATATCACTGTTATGCTTTGTTGCTAAGCACATGCTTTATGTTTTATATGTTCATTTTTAATTCACATAATTTTTATGAATAGTTTCTTATAACCATTTAATAATGATGTGAACTATAACTAGACATGTTATATAACGTACCATTTTAAAATAGGCATTCACATGTAGGGGTGGGAAAAAAAAACTTGGATTGATTCGGAAACCTTCAAAGTCTGCAGAAGTGCCATTATATATACATAAGTGCAATGACCGCATGAATTAGTTTTAGAGAAAAATGTCAGATTCGGAAACAGTAAAAGTGTGCAGAATTTGGATTTGGTAGTAACAAATTACTAGCTTTACAATATCTTGACTGTTTTTATCTAAAACATGTTATTAGGTGTAATGAACTGGTTTAGGCATAATTCAATTCCATCGTTAGTATGAAGTTTAAGAGCAAGAAAAATGTTGATTTGAAACTGAAAAATATTATTTTAGACATGCAGTTCAGTTTAAAGCAAAATATAAAAAAAATGAGTTTGGTTTAAGAAATAGTTTAGTTCAAATATTTCAAATATAATTCACCAAATTTATAGCAATTAAGATTTATTTACTCAATTTGTTTTTCACTTCAGTTTAGTTCCTAAAAACTATTTTTCAAGTTTAATTCAATTACCCACAGTTCAATGCAGTTCAAGTTTATCAATTTTTTTACCTATGTACCAGTTCAAACACTAGTCTGCAACGGATGAGAACCCCATTTATTTAATACTACCTTCTTTTTAATGTTATTTGTTTTTGTACAGGTAAATTCTTCTATAAATATTTATAGCAATAAAAAATAACTAAATTCCTCTCAAGTTTATATTAATTTTGTATAAAGCAAAACCAACATTTCAAAGATGCTACATGAGGGAATTTTTCAAATTAATCAATAAGTTTATATAAAGTATATTTTTTTCTTATTTTATTTTCTTGAAGAACTTACTGGCAAACTTATCAATCACAAGACCATAAGTCAAGGGAATGCAAGTAGAGTTCAGAATCACCAAATAATTGCTTTCTCCATCACTTTTATATGGATATCCTTCACCAAGTTCATGTCTGCAGTGGGAATGGTTCTACACTTTTGGTATAATTAACAGCATGGAGCGTATAATGGAAGATTGTCATGACATTTATAGCATTTTAAAAAGAATATAGAGCGTACAAATACAATCAGTAAAAAAAGGTAATCAAAATGTCAAAATTGTTGCATAGCATCTTTTTGAAATAAGAATCAGCAATATCCTTAGTTACAGTGAATTTCTCTAGAAAGAGAACTTGAAAGCTCCCGCATTAGCATCTGTTACAGAATCCCAAAAGGGGAGTTTCCTCTGCTGGATCTTTCTCTCTTCTTCTTTCCGAGTCAAATCATCAATTTCTCCGGGAAAAGAAGCCTCAATAGCATTCTTAAACTTATCGTACAAATTCACTCGATCCCTTGTTCCAGATACCAGTGTGCTTGCATTTGGCCTTTTCAGAAAATCCAAGACATTTACCAAATTTCTCCTGCAACAAATGATCACCAACATTTGATATTAAATTCTCATTTTCACATGCAAAATACAAAGCCAAATCTAAATTTGAAACATCATCAAATTATTAGTAGCTTAATATTAAGGAAAATCAATAAATATTAGGTTATTAAGACAAAGGAGACATGCTGTTAATGTTTAGATATACATTAAGCTCATCATCTGCTTATTAATGATTGTATTGTAGACACATGGAAGATTAGATGTTATAATAGTTTAAGTAAAAAAGATAATATCAGTGCCCTATTCTGCTCAAGCATACAAATGAAATTCTTCAGTTACCATCCTCTTCAGAAATAAAGGATAAGTCGTGCAAACTGCATTTCCACATCAACATAAAATGAGTAGATGTTGATGTTTGACCATGCTATTACATACCAAGCAATAACCATTCACTACCCGTCCCTTTTTAACAGCAAAATGAGTCTAAAGTGCCAAATTCTGAGTAGCCAATGGATATTTTAACATAAAAACCAAAAATAATGAGTATTCCGAGAAAATGTTTCTGTCAAAATATCTGCTTCCTTCAAGATTAATAGGTTTCGATTTCATACAATAACTAATTAATACAACTAAGATCAGGCACGAGAATACTAACAGAAAAAAAGAGACTAGTTAATCCATCATATCATTCAAAAGCTGAACATGTATCAAACTACAACTAAGGGGAAAGCATGATCAGCAAAGGTCCATTCAGAAACTGAGTCAAATGAGGTTTAGCCATAGCTTTTATCAAGCTGTCTTCAATTATTAGCTTAAAAAAAACATGGAGTAACAATCAGTTTAAGCTTCAATCGGCTGAAAATCCACTGTCACTAGAAGCTCACTTTCTTAATCAAACATCTTAAAAATCCACGGAAATCAATAAAATACCTCACCTACTAACATAGTTTTGGGTTATGGCTATGGATTCCTCCAGGTTGATCACCAAATGCCACCATCCACTAGGCACAAAGATCACCTCTCCAGTTTTACATACACACTCAATTGGTTTCGTTTTCCAATTTTTGGTTGCTCCATAGAAGTTCATGAACCATTCAATTATCGAAACAGGAGATGCCACTTCGGCCCCATCAGGACTAGGATGAACACCAGGTGGAATCACATCAGGAGGAAACAAAATCCATTTCTTGGACCCCTTGATCACTGCATTCCAAGCCGAGGTTGAATTCGGATCAACATGGAAAGAAGATCCAGACCCTGCAGGTCCAATAATAATCCACCTGTAGTCTGGCCTCTCATTGTCCAAAACACTAAACAAGTCTTCCCTAAAGTACACTGGAACTTCATATTCATCACCCAATTTTGGAACTTTTTCAGCAAACTTGGGGTCAAACAAATATAAGGGCCTTTCCTCTCTGACCTGATCCGAGTATCCAAAGTAATCTCCAAGCTTCATCTCCACTGGCCCAACTGAAAACTTAACATCGCCACACAACCTTATCAAGTAATCCCTATCCCAATTTCCCAACGCACCCCAATTATCAATACACCCTTCCAATAACACCGGCTTATTAGGCTCCTCAAAATTCAACACAAATTCCTCAACCGAAATTCCCCTCTTCCGTACCACATTATCCCTCTCCAACCACTCAGGCTTCATTTCAAGGTTAGCACATAGCCAACTCTGGAAAAGATAATCCGAGTAAAAGTCTCTAACTTTAAAACCCCCAAGAGCAATAGCGGAGTCATCAAATGAAGGGTAACAAGCAGAAACATAGGTGGATTTCCAGGATCCTTTGTACTGAAACCCAGCAGGAAGATTCTCCAACACGAGATTCCTCCAAAGGGGTTCATGGTTGGTGAACACGTAGAAAGACTTGCTGACACTGGCCAAAATTCCTACAGAAGAAGCTTCCAGAAACCCGAGAATGTCAAGAACAAGCTCATCCGAAAGGGTATGAAGATTACCCAAGCCAGTGTCTCTGGAGTTAACGGAACCTGGGTTCAGATAGAGATTTCCCAAGGGTTGAACACCGTGAGTGTGTGATGGGGCAGAGCTTTTGATGCTGAAACCTTCCTCAGTAATTTCTTCATCTTCTTGTTCCACTGAGCGTGTTAACTCTTTTGTTATGGGAATGCAGTTTCTTGTGGCTATGTTTCTGTTTCTAATGGTTTTCTTTGTTCTTCTCTTGACTCGGGACAACAAGTTTCTCATCCTGAAGCTCCGCATGGTGGAAACTGACGGCGAGGTTATTGGTTTGAATATGCTGCTAAGCCTACCAAAACAAAACCCAAAACCCGAGTAAGTTAAATAGAAATTAGGACAATTTTATGGTCACAGAAATTAGATTGTTTCTATTTAACTATTGATTACGGTGAAGTGTTGCTGTATTATACTTTAATTATAAAACAATTCTAGTGATTTTTAATATCTTGATATTAAAACGTAAAAAGGAAAAGGTATAATTTTTTTAACATAATATAGCTAACTTTTTCTACAATGTAGTATCTATTATGAATATAATTAAATAATAAATATACCTTGAAGGTTTTAACAAGAAAGAAAAAAATGTCATTATAACGAATTTTTACTTTCTGATATAATTAATCATGTGTTTTAGGGTATTTCTTCTGTTTTTTTTTTTTTTTATTAAACCCAACAAATTAATTTATTGTTATAAAGTAGTTAATTTAATTAATAATATTAAATTTATTTATATTTTAAAATGATCTTAAACATTAACAAAGCATATTTTATTGCTTGAAAATATTTTTATTAGTTTTATTTCTCTTAATTTTTCATCATTAATATATTTTGGGTTAAATAATTATTTCTTATTATTTTTAAATTTTATTTCACTTTTTATAATATTGATCCATCTTTTCTGCAAGAATCACAACGTTATTTTGTCCGTAAACGTTAATTAAATTATTTAATAATGACATGATAATTCAATATTAATTTGTTTATATTAATACATGTTATTTTTTTATTATTTTATAGTGAAATGTTTTACAATAATTCTATATGGTTTAAAGAACCAAAATTGCAATAACTTTTAAATATAAAAGACTAGTTACTTCTTAGAAAATAATGACCGAATTGAATATAAAAATAAGATTAAAAAATTAAAACTATAATTTAGTATAACTTTTATTAATTGACAAGTAAAGTATGACCGTGTATGTAACAATGATAATCAAGTGATATCTAAAATAAATTTTAATTGATTAATAAGATAAAAATATTGCATTTGGTAATGCATGCAAATTAGAAATATTTCCTTTAATTTTTAATTTCGATATATGCATCATAAGAATTGACGTTATATGTATATAAAAAAATATTATAGTCCACCACGGGGATTCATTGAATTAATAAATTTTAGATTTGGTCGTAAATTTAACGCTTTTGATTTTCTAGTTAAATGAATGATATTTATTTATTTTCTATATTTTATTATTCATTTTCCAGTTAAAAAAAACTTATTTTATCTTAACACAATATCTTTTTTGTTACAATACGAACACTCTGCTTTATATAACATGTTTTTCATAGTAAATTTATGTTTTCAAATAAACTTTTGTCTGTAAATTGTAATTAGGAAGCAACTAGCTGCTTTGTACGAGGAAGAAAATGCCAAAATGGACACATTCCAATCTCAAATTTGGAATGTACAAAAAAAAAATACAAATATTTACCTCTAATGTAATATTAATGTGTTCATACTCTTGCAATGCAGATTTTTGATGTTATGTTTTAAATATCAATTTATTTTTGAAGAAAATAATTATTCTAATAACTTAAAAATGTTTTCAATAGTATTTTAGTCTACATAAAATGTATGTGTTTTGATTTTGGTTCTTATAATTATTATTTTTTTCTTTTCAGTCCCTATAAATTAAAAAAACAAAGATCCCCAATATTATTTAACATTTGTTCACGATTCATGTGTTGATAAAAAGTTGAGATTATTTTAAATAATACATACTATAACTGTGATATAATGAAAGTAAAGCTTTCAATTTTTTCTTTTACATTTTAAAAAAATATCTTATTTATAAAAAATAATTGTTTCAAATTTTCAAAGAATGAAAAATAAAGAAAAACAATTTATAGGATTAAAACTAAAACTCTTTTTTTTTTTTTTATAAGGACTAAAAATAATGATTTGAAATTTTACATGAATAGTAAAGAAAGAAAATTTTATAGAGTAACAAATCAAGACTTATTAAAAAGCAGTTATGTCTTCAAAAATTAACTTGTTTTAATTTTCATTTTCCTTTCAATTAAATAAAAGATAACACCGGTATATTTTCCCTCTTATTTTCTTCACATACTTGGCCACGGCAAAATCTAAGATAGGAGTCTAAATAATTTGCTCTTTCTTGCAGACAAAGTATGAATCATAACTAGCAGAGACGAATCAAACTACTACGAATTCATATTCTTCTTGAGCTTTGGTGCTTTGTCATATATCTCAAATTGAAGATGTCTCCTCATACTTATAGTGTTTAGAAAAAGACAATCTACTTCTATTTTTATTTGCTGTTTTCGTTATTTGAGTGAGGGAACATTGAAAACAGCTAGAATATTTTCAAAAGCAGACAGCGTAAGAGATAGAAGCGTACAAACTAAATACAATACAATCAAATTCGTTTTGCCCTCGGTTCAAGTTATAAACATAACAGAATCCATATATGCAACAAACCCAACCCCACTTACTAGAATTGAACTGGAAAATTGAATAGAAACTGCATGGTGAGGGAACTTACAGCGTCCAAAGACATGTACCTCGACTCAACTTTGACAAACCACACGAGGGAGAATGCTCAAAAGTCTGGTCGAATGCAAGTTTCCCCAATCAACCAACAAATTACATTTAATTTCATACAAAAGAAATAAAAGAACACTACACAAAATCACCACTCTTTTGGCGAGAAAAATCTAGAGAAAAAAATTATTGTAGTGCGTTTAAGACTCAGTTGGTGCTTCCACCCCCACATATGAGCCTACCTGTAAACTAAGACAATAATTGGAGAACTACTCTCCCATTTGTGTACTATGAAGATATCTCCATGACCTTACATGGGGTCCTTTGTCAAGCAGCATTAGCAAGCCCCCGCTGTCAGATGGTAGCCCGAGCATATACCTACAATCACAAGCAGTTAAGATGATGGATAATTTCTGGTCAATCAATCACTCCAGGATCACTTAAAACAATTTTTTCTCCTTTCATCCTGGTTAAAAAATGTACCCTCTATAACACATGGGATTTGTTATACTTACAAGTCTGCCTCGAGAGGACTATATTTAAAAATATATTAAATTATAATAAAAGGTTTTTACACTTAATGTTCGTCGTGTTGTAAACTAGAAAATTAATTCTTGAAGAGATTATGTTCATGTGAAGCATCATTATTACAAGTATATTTATCACATCGAACATCGAAGGCCAGCCAGTGATATTTCACAGAAAAATAAAGAACCTTCAGAAATTTAGAATGCCTGGATCAATGTTACCACACTCTTTTGCATGAATTCTACACTAATGTTTTCTATAAATGATGTCTGGCTAAGGTGGTTGTGGGAATTACCGCTGGTTTTGCTAACTTCAGGAGACAACAGTGTTCAACAACTCAACAACCAGGCATTATAACACTACACACCAGTTGGTGTGGCATACAAATTTTGAAACAAAGACTAAAGCTACTAACTACGTACTTGATTTGCTGAGCTTTCTTTCTCCAGAAAACAATTGAAGCAATCCACTGAACATAAAAAGAAGATGAAATAGAATAAGTGCAGTTCTTATCAAAATCTTCAATCACGAGATGAATGCAATGGATAGAGATTATATCAAAGGAAAATTGACCAAAAAAATGGCAAAATTAATTTAATAGGATACGAGTCCAGGTTATCATATAATTTGTAGACACCAATTGTTTCTAAATCACCTTAAAAATGGTCAAGAATGAGAAGCTGCCAATAAAGGACCTTGCAGTCATTCTTTTTTGCTCCGACATCTCTTTGCACAATTCTTGAGCTATTTCTCTCAGTAAAACAAGTTGTGCTTTATCAGTGCGCATTGAAATGAGTGCCTGCCTCATTGACTCCCTATCAGCCTCAAGTGCTTGAAGCCTCATGTAAAGCTTCTTTACATATGGATCTTCAAATTCCGCATTATTAACAAAGTCCTTTGGAGTGCTTGAATAATAATCGTAAACATTAACTCCAGTTTTGAACTCGGAGTCAATTGTATAGACTTTATCAATCATATCATCACCAGCTTCAGATACATTATCCATCTTCTTCAAGTTGGGAAGGTCCTCCGATTGTGAGGGACAATCTATCCTCCTTAAGCTGGGAGAATCCATCATATACTCAGGACACAATGAAGATGAATCACAAGAAAATTTCCTGGAATGCTTAGTCCATCTTGGAGACTGTCCAATTATCACCTTCTCTAGAACATTTTTTCCATTGAAATCCCCATCCATCTGGCTGTAAGTGGGGCTTCTCTCCATTTGAGATATCCTGCTTTCCAAGTTCCTCAATCGGTCCTTAGGAGTTTCGCCAAAAGCATATTTATCAATGTCTATGTCATCATTGTCCGCATCAGCACAAGCATGGATTGCTTTACATCTCAAAGGAGGGTACTCATAAGGGAGAAATTCATCCCGATCACCTTCTGCCTCCGATTCAGTGAGGCCAAAACTCATCAACCTGTGTTTATAAGCCTGTACCTCACAGGTGAGCGAGTGAATTGCCTGTTCTTTCTTATACAACATATCCTCCAACAATAAAAGCTCCTGCTGATCATGAACCGTTCTCTCCTCCACAAATCTCTTGAACTGCCGCGCCTCCATCTGAAGCTCTGCTTTCTCCCTCTGCAACCTCAATATCATTGACATGGTCTCATTTGCGGCCGAGGATGCAGCACTCCTCTCCTCCTCCAATTCAGCATACAATTCCTGTATTGATTGTTGTTGGCTGCTCACAGCCTCCCGTAGGGCTTCACATTCATTCCCAATATCCACACGTGCCACTGAATCGCAATCCACCCCTGGCACAAAGAATTGGCCGCCCCGTTCCAACTCCTTGTGTTTCCTTTTCACAGAACGAGACCAATTCCCTGAGGATTGAGCTGCCATGGAGCAATCCCTACACCCACATTCGCAGTGCTTGCAACATTTCCCCGAATCGCCAGAAGATTCCAAATCCATCAATCAAACTACACTCATTCAAACTCAACTCTCTTTTGTTTTTTTCAAAAGTAAAACAATTTTAACAAACGAAGAAAAAAGGAAAGATCTGCATTATCCTCTCATTGATTCAATTCAAAACACCACCAACACTCTCTACCCACCCCTCCGTGCCAAGCACCTTCTCCCTTGGATCAATCATCCAATCAGACACAAACCTGCTAACAGAGGTATAAAACAACAATCATGTGACGTCATTACGTTATTATAACAACAACAGATATTAATAATAAAAAGAAATTTACAATATCCGCGTAACGGTAAAGAAAAATCATTCCACAGAACAAACACAATTGAAATTTTATACCTCGGGTGTAACCTTGAAGAAAAAAAAATATGAAAAAAATAAAGAATGAAAGAGGAAATGTAACCTGGAAGAAATGCGGTTAAGGAATGGAGACAGGATGAACCCGCTTTCTTGGGAGGAAAGAATGCGGGTGTTTGGTTTGGAGGGAAGGACGATTTGGAAACCCTAGAATTTGTTTTTAGCTCTTTTCTTTTCTTTTTTATTTTTACCATTTTATTACTCTCTCTTCCGCTATGCTTTCTGAATTTTCTTCACGTCCTTTCCGTTCACCTCAACCCTCTGTTTCTCTCATCCCCACAAACCTATGCAAATGAACGGTTTCACTCCTCTTCCCCTTTTAGCACTATATATACTCCTACTTCGTCAACATTTTACATTTTTTAAATATTTTTTAGCTCATACAAACATTTTAAAACTATTTTAAAATATCAACGTGTAATTAAACTACATACAAATTATTTAAATTAAACCAGTGTTCTCGAATTTTAATATATAATTATAATTTTTTCAGCAAATAAAACCTCCTATTTTTCGGGATGATGCAGCTGTAACAATGGATAGAACACAAGCATCGTTGCCAAGGTGTGTTTTTGTTAGAAAGCACGTGACATTTGTTTGTTATCTGCAAATTTTATTGTTGTAATGACGAAGGATATATCATTTTCGAGTATTAATGTAAGTAATTTTTGTAAGGATTTTTTTAGGGGATCATTCAGGGTAGGTTTGGAGTAAAGCAGCTAGGAGCTTAAAATTAGCACTTTGAATGCATCTTTAGCTATGATTTATGGCTTGCATTATCTCTTCTACTATATCCAGCATTAATTTTGGCATGGTCATTGCATGATGCTTACTTCATTTTTTTAAAAACATGATGGTTACTTCATAATTGTTTGGGGTTGTTTGACCAACAAATGAGGCCAAATTGCACTTTTTTATTTATCAAAATAGTTTTTTTAAAAACAATCATTATCACAACACTTATTTTACCTCATAAATTTGCATGCATACATATGTTCGTATATAAGTCACTAAGGATACTTACGATGTTCAAAACAAAAGAAAAAAGAAAAAATCTCAACGTGTCGTGTGTTGAAGTTGCTTGCATGATATGTGACACTACTTAAGGAAATACATTGACAGATTTGAGAGAAACAAAAGAATATTGTTGCAGTGTGGCATGCATATCCTGATTGCATGAGTGACAGATACACAACATCGTCTCAAAATTTGATAAACCTAGTTATGGAAGAAATAAGACTCTCTGGAACAACGTGCTTCCAATTATGTGTAACACATGGCAGCACAAAAAAAACTCGCTAATCCAATTGTCGAGTTTATATATACGTGTGCAAGTATATGGATATATAAGAGGGAAGAAAAGCCACAATCTTTCACGTTTCCTAGTAATGTATGTAACATGTGATCGCATTCAAATAAAAACAAAGTAGGTTTGATTTCATATGCAAAATCTCACTCCATTCACTATTACAAATAAAGCTTTCAAACCGATGTTGTATCAGATGACGTTGAAAGTCGTAACTTTCAACATTGGTTCTAATAAACCGATCTTTGAAAGTATGATTTTTAAATTAATAATTTTTATTTATTTAAAACCTCTTTACCCCTTTTATTTATCTAGAAGTCCATACTCTCTTTATATCATATTTTTATTAGGTCTTCCATCTCTTTATATTATATTTTTTAGAAGTTTATTAATTTTTTAAGAGCATCTCTTTATATTATATTTTTTAGAAGTTTATTAATTTTTTAAGAGAATTGTCATTGGCGTAATTGAACCCGATACTTTAGAGTTGGAGGCTGATACTCCAACCACTAAACTACTAAAATTTTCTAATAATAACTTACAAATAAATTATATTTATATACAAATAAATATATATCAGTGTAAATTTATAAATATATAAATACAAATATATTTATATATTTTGATATATTTATATATTTTGATATATTTATATATTTATATGTTAGATGTGAGGGCACACTCGAAAGTGAAAGTGTGTGTCGAATGTGTTTTCAAAATTTGATGCTAAATTTGTGAGCAGGTATCTTTATATGAGTTTGTAATTTAATGATAGAATATAATCTTTATAATTTTATTTATATAATGATATAAAATAAATTTGGGAAACGCGTTATTCGCTTTCAAGCGAAAAATACCAATTTTTGCTCAAGCGAGACTTGAGTGAGTGGATTTCAGTGAGCTTTAACATATTTTCACTCAAGCGAGAGTCAATCACACTTTCACCCTCGATCGAAAAATACCAATATAATTTATTTGTAAGTTATTATCAAAAAATTATAGTAGTTTAGTGGTTGGGATATTAACTTTCAACCCTAAAATACTCGGGTTCAAATGTTGTCGATGACAATTCATTAACTTAAGAGAATTTTTGACTAAAAAAAAAATAAAAATACTTTCCAGAAAATATATACAAATAAATAATATATTTACATGGATATATATTTACTTGTATATAAATATAATTTATTTGTAAGTTATTATCAGAAAATTATAATAGTTTAGTGGTTAGAGTATTAGTTTTTAATTCTAAAATCCTGAGTTCAAATAATGCCAGTGACAATTTAAGTGAATTTTTGGTGAAAAAAAAGACTTTCCACGTCGGTTCATATGGGAACCGACGTGAAAAGTACTTTCTATGTCGTCTCAGCTTATAATCGATACGTAAAAAATATATTACGTCGTCTCAAATATATAACCGAGACCTAAAAAATATATTTTGTAGTAGTGATTCCAAACACTCCTTTTATTTGTTCTCAGTCCATTATCATTTTCCTTCTTATTGTGGGTTTATTTTGTTTATGTATATCTGCTAATTAATTAATTAATTTGTGTTTATTTATTTATTTTGCATTGCTTATTAATGCAAGTTAAATAATTTATTATGTACTTATGCGGTTTAATTAATTTAGTTATTCATGTTTCGGTATTTTATTTGCCTCACATTGATTTTTATTTTTTTTACTTATTTATGTGGTTGTCATTTAATTTTATATTTGCTAATTTATTATTTTGTTTGTATTATGGTGTTATGATTATGGAATTTTATTATGATGCTATTTATTTATGGTAATATTCACATTTATTTATGATACTATTTTGATGAGAATTTATGTTATATGGTATTATTTATTAATTATTGTGTTTATTTTTGTGTTAATTATCTATTGTGAGTCTTATTTGTCATATTTTAATTAAATCATATAATATATTTTTTATTTTTTAAATATAAATAAAGTCTCTTTAATATCATGTATTTTTAAAAATTAAAATTTAATTTAAACAGACCGAGTAAAAGATACACTTCTACAAATGGGCTTCCTCTTCATTTATCGGATTTTCCATAAGCCCAAGTAGAAGGATTCTTCTGGGTTTAATATACTTTTGGATCAAATAGCCAACACACATTTTTTATAAGCAAACTTTTATTAAACAACGGATCACAAATACAACAATATTAGGTTATATCAAAGTGTATATATATATATATATATATATATATATATATATATATATATATATATATATATATAAAAGACCAAGAAGTTCCAACATTAAAGATAATTAGATTATTGTTGTTGAGGTTTCAATATTTGGTGATGTGTATGAGACAAATTTTGTTAGGAGATATTAAAATACATTTTAATATACGTTTGATTTTTTTTTTACAAAATATAACTAATACAACGAAATTAATAAAAAATATATTTTTTATTTGTTAATAAAAAATATGAAAAAGAAAGTGACAAAATTATGCATTAGAATAGTTGTTACTGTTATGAATTAAATTATAAAATATATATATATATATATATATATATATATATATATATATTATCGAAATTCAATTTTGTTCAATTATACTTTTTTGCTTCCAAAAAATATATCTAAAACTTTTTCATCAAAAATAGAAAATTTAATAGAATAATTATATTTTCCTGAAGAAGCTCAAACTTTTAAAATATATAGTCTGTTCTTAAGTCCTTATAATATTTTTAAAAGATAAAAATCTACCTTTATATGTATATCTAGACTCATCTTCACCATAAGATCCCGTGTTAAAGAATACATTCAATCCTCCAACATGGATAATTGTTCTTTAGTTTCCACCATAGAAGAATAATACATCAATATTCAGATTTCCAAAGATCTTATCAGGTATTGATAAGGATACACTCATTTTTATTATGTAGTTATAAGACTAGTCATTTATCTTCATGGAAGACGTGAATTACCTGTTTTAGCTAGGATCTCTCTTTCAGATTTCAACTATCTGTACTATAAACATGTTGTAATTGGTACTGTGTTAACCACTCTCCATGCTAAAAGTGTAGTCTTGATCATCTTTACTAACTTTGAAGATACCAGTGACAAAGATGATGATGACTTTAGAGTAGGATCATGCAAACCTCCTTTCTATCCTAACAAAAGGTTTAGACTTAAAAAAGGTCATTGGATTGACCTCCATCGCCAAGAGAAACCAAACCTTCTTTGGAAATATGAACAATATGTTAAGATCCTTAAAGAACAAGGTCTCCTTCTTTTGAGATATGATAAATACAGTACCTTTGTCATGTCACCTTCTATTGCTCTTCTTATTCTATACATGAT